TTGAAGCCAACCTTTAGAAGCCTTGAATGTATATACTTTAAGCTGCTTGGCAAACTCGGACGCTGTGGTTTGTAGCATGGGACCAGTAACTGGAATTCTCCGACTAACTGCTCTTTGTACCATTCATATGTAAGGTCATTGATTTCCTCATTGCCTGTGAATTATAAGGTATATTGGTAAGAAAATAATACATGTAGCCTACATGCATACATAATAAATTCAAACAAACAAGTGTTCAAACACAATTCAAGAACGTGTTTATTTTAATTTCTTGTGATTCGTAGGTTAAGAACACTGGGTCTCGCCATTTCACTATTAATGCATTCAATAAAACAAGAAAGCAGTAAAGTTCTTTTATTTTCTAAATGAATAATCTGTTACCTGTGCAATGTCGACGTCGTGTTGATAACAAAGGTACATTGTTCTCAACATCACTCATTACCTCAGCTTTTCTTTTAAGTAAGTTTTGAATCTGCGTTTTGCCAACGCCAAGCAGTTCCGCAAATTTATATGCCGGCATGCCAGTATCAAGTAATTTTATGGCATTACATTTCTTTTCTAACGAAAGAAATTTTCTTTTCGCCGCCATTTTAACCCATTTTAACCCATAATGCAATTCCTCCAGGACAAATAACTCCAACAATATAATACAATAGATTTATTCGAGTTACTCCCCTTGAAAAAGTCGCTTTGCACGGCCTATATACCGTAATGGGAGACACTAAATCATGGTTGTTGTACGGACTGGACAGGAAGTCGCTACATCCAGACCATTTATATAGTAAAAACTGTTCGGCGCACTTAACTATGGTCACTAAAGACAGAATGTCGCTATAAACAGGGGGTCACTTAAACAGTCTTTACTTTATATACAAAACTATTCCGACGAGCGTAATAACTCTTTACTTATTGTTTTTTAGCCACCAGTGCACTAACTAATCTTATTAAATCGAAGCAAGCTATGCACAAATAAATTGTGTTGACTGCCAATATTCTTCTTAAACAGCCACATAAGCGATTACAAAAATTTATCTTTGTTTTGTTCTTAACCTTAAGTTACTTTCTTTCTATAAAAGTTTTCGTTTTTCTTTGCCATAAGTATATAGTACTGAGATCAAGTTCAACGACCAAAGCAACTGTTTGTTAACTGGAGTTTATCACTAAAATCGACTTAAAGAAATTTGCCTTAATGGAAATTAGTCCTATAGAAAACTACTTTTGCGTCAAAGGCAACAATGGGGTAGTATCATTTTAACAGTGAACTTATGAATCCACATAAATTACTCTTTCCATAGATACATTGTGCTTTGGTGAATTTATATTTCACTCATGTGTTAACTTTCTTCTTTTAACACTTACTTAAAGAGATGATAAAACTTTATCAATCACTATTTGACAAAAAATCTAACAAAAGTCCTTGTGAAGACATACATTGAGACTCAAACGAAATTACAAAGAATATTATACAATAAACCATGCAAACGCTAAGACGTACAAAATAATGAATCATCACTAATCTTCGTTAATAAATTATAGCAACTTTATTGTTTTAACAAAACATTACAATAAACAACATAATAACATATGTGTTACTTCAAAATACAAACATACTGCAAAACAGCAGCACCATTTCCATTAAAATCTTAACCTAATCAGCTGTTTGGTTTACAATAGACGTTTTTCTGATTTACTATAACAAAATTAACAAACGTTTAAATACACACAAACGTTTTTCATGAGGAAAATGTACATTAAAGTATTCATAATTATTCATTCTTATCTTATATTAAAGTTATTAACAAAGCTAGTGCGTTATTTTCTGAAAAAAAAATGACACTAAATAAATCATGATAGAAAAATCATTGTATGTGAGTGTATTTATAAAGCTCATATTGTGTGTTACATTTTATCAATATAACAATATATCATTATCGGTATACAGTCAAGTTCATTTTTACATTGAATGTCATCTTAACATACGAATATACTGCTAATTATACTAAAACATTTATTTGAGTCACGTTATTGCCACAGTTATCAGGTCCTTTTTTTAGTTTTGATAAAAACGCGTCTTATGTCGTGCACATTGACTTTATAAGAAACCAGAATTAAATATTCCTGAACAAAACAATTTTCTAAATGTGAAACAGATTAATTCACTACGCGCGTTAAATTAGCATCCTTTTTTCAATTTTTCATTTTTTTCAACCTTAGGTCAGCAAAAATTCAGATTTGTTTGTGCCACAACCTAAAAAAGAATTTTTTAGAAAATCTCTGCCATATTCAGGCCCTACACTATGGAATAATATCCCTCATTCTATTCGTAAATCTGAAACTAATGGTAACTTCCAAGCTTCCAATATCAGTTGGAATTTCACATAAGTAGCTTGATCTTGCATAGATTTAGTGTTAAGTAATGTATATACATGCATTGTGATTTGGGTATGTATTTTGTTTGAATGTACATTGTTTTTTGTTGTTGTTGTTTTCATGTATATATTATGCATTTTCTGTTTTCATGTATGTGATTTGAAAATTTCACTGTATAACCATGATGTAAATTATGTAATTTTGTGTATATTTATGTTTTGATGCCCACATGGAAGATTGGGTAACAAAATGTGTAGCCTCAGTAAATAAAGACTTTGCTTACTACTGAAATGAAGACATCACAGCGAAACCCTTGAAACACCTACCGGACAAAAGAGGGTTAATAACCAACCCTTTCTTCCGAACTTGATTGAAATGTTTCACTCCGATCTCAAATTATCAACAGTGTCCCTTCGATCCTTCTCGGAAGTCCTCGCTTGTAATGTGACGTAGACTTATTTATGGCAAACAATTCTTTAAGTGGATATTAGACATTTAATTCAATTCAATGATTAGGAGGAAACTTTCAATGAAACATGAATTCCACTTTTGTAAAATATTCTATATCCGGCCCTGTTCTAAAATGATATGCCACGTTTTCCTTTAAGGGTTGGATAAGTCGAAATTTATTAAGGTTGCATCTCTTAGAAATATGCAAGAGAGGCTAATCAAGAAGCATGGTCGAAGGAAAAAACTATAAAAAAAAGACTTTAACGTGAGGGTAAGTGATGACTGAGCCTGTCTGTTCCCTTAAATATAGGTTTATAAACATTGTTTTTATTTCAAGTATATTCATAATTAATTTAACTAAATGATTCAAACGTTATACATTGATTCAGACTTCGTGTTAATACAATGTATTTTACGGTGTAATCAAATTCTTCAGTCCTTCGGGAGCATTGATTAAACAGTGTTGAAGATTTAATTATGCTTGAGCCGTTGCTGGAGGACGTGAGAGATGTCGCGCATTACTTTGTTTCTAATAAACATAGTACATCAAACATAGCCAGCAAAATTGTGTCAACTATTTACTTTGTTATCATTGTTAAAATTGCCCTCTAACGATCACTCATTTCCATAGTTTCATTGAATGTCACAAGAGTACCACATTGAAGGTCTTGCTTTATCTAATGTCCTGTCCTGTTTTTGTCCTTTGTTGTTGCATCCTTCTGGGCAACTATGTTTAATCATAAAGTGAAATAATGGGTCCGTCTGGCTTTTAGAATCTCATATCAAGGGACATTACGTGAAGAAGTTGCAGAGATGAAATGGTTGCAAAATAGCACCCGAGTTATGCTTTATGCGGCCCTTTGTTGCGGAATCGGTCGTGTTGGGGTTGCATTCGTTGAGCGCCGACTTTTCTTGATCATCTTATTTTTTTCATATTTTATTTCCTGATAATTAATGAACAAACATCTGCAGATGTAATATAACTCTAAACGTTTACAGTTTCGTATTCTGCATGAGCCAGTGTATCTATTACGGGTATAGGGTCTACTTCATTTAATCGTTAAGGCATTATACACTATGAAGCCATACAGACGGGCGCATAAAATGACACAAAACAACATAAAAAACAATAAAAAACAGAATAAAATCTTGAATGACTGATTTATCTAATTATGCTATATATATTTTAAGATAACACATCAAACAAATAAATGTTATTGAGTAATTTCTATACTGTAACATTAAGACCTTTGTTTACTTAATATTTATGCTTTGGATACATAAAGGTTTAAAGCAGACTGAATATTGAAAAACAAAACTTATTAAACTAAACAGGGTCTCAGATATGATAAATTAAAACAGTGAAATTAAAATAAGGGGGGGTACCTCTTTATTGAGTTATCTGTCCTTGAATTAGGAGATTGTCAAATAATTCACAATTTAAGTTCGCCAGACTGACTGCCTTTTTTAAGTCTCTACTGTACTGGTTTCCTAGCAGTTTCCGGCCAAAAAATACACTTTTTTACAAACAGTATAAATATCGGTCGACGGATAAATATAAAATTTTGATAGAACATAGGTAGGTTCCTGCCAAGCAGTATCGTGTTTTCGATTATTCTATTTTAATTTTAATTTTTATTTTTAATGGAATATGGGTCAGAAAAGAAGTACCTTTTCTAGCTTTTTTTCTTAATGTCATAGCAGTTTTCCGGACATTTTCATTTTACATATAGTTTATCCCAATAAACGATGAAAAGATGTTTTTATTTCAGAAATATATTGTTCTACCCTTTTGTCATACAATACGCACAACTGCTTGTTTTTTTTTACGTCATATGAGCTATAAATAGCTCTGTCAAAGTTGAGGCCCGGCAGGGAGTAATAAAATTAACAACAAACGCATATTAAAGGTGATTTGATGTTACTATATTACGTACTTCATTAGACCTAGATATATAAATTCAGTTTACCTTTTCAACATTTGAGAACAATCTACATAACAATGATTAAAAATAAAAATACTTTTTTTAAAGAATAAAAACAAAAAATAAACAGTATACATTACATGTAAATAAAAGTATGTTAAAGTATACATACTATCACAGTTAAATTATGATCACAGTGAAGTCAACGAACTTTAAAAAGTATTTTATTTTCTACAGTAATAGAGCTTTATCCTGTTAAACATATAACATGTATATAACAGACACTTCCTGTTTCATAGTTCTATTCTTCATACAACCATGGTTTACAGCTGTGGCAATACCAGACCTCATCCATTTCCATACTTTCCCATAAGTATTCTTTGGCCTGTTGCGTCAAGCAGTCTTCGTGGAACCATAAACCACACGTTTCCTCATCACATCCAAACCATAGAATTCCATTTTCCTCGTCAGCCGGGCTACCCTTCCCTTTACAAGCATCACATACATACAAACTTGCAATCATGATCTGTTCCTCAGTGTATGACCTTCTTTTTATCCGTTCCTCCTTTAATAAATAAGGAAATCACATTTAATAAGAGGAAAATAAAACAGGCATATACGTAAGGAAACTTACTTACGCAACCACACGCCTGCGCGCACACACACATTCATATTATAGCTAAATGTCCAAAATAAAGATTCGAAAAAAATCATCGACTCGATACTTGGTTATTTTCAAACTTGAAACTAGATAAAAATACACATTAATACCCTTACTTTCTCTTTCTGCTTCCTGTCACGTTCCTCTATACGTTTTTGTTTCCTCTCATTCTTCAGTTCTTCTTCTTTCTTCTTTTTAGCTTCCCTTTCTTCCTTCTCTTTCAGTCTTTTATTTTTTCTCATTTCATCATCAACTTCTTTCTGCTTTCTTTTTCTTTCTTGTTCATTTTTTCTCCTCTCTGATTCTTCTTTCTTCTTAGCGTCTAGGTCCTCTTTTTCCTACATTTATAGGAATTGAAAATGAGTATAACTTGTATGTTGGGATATTTTGTTACAAAACATGTTTTCTATCGTTCTTTACTGTTAAGATACGAATATTCACAAAAATTGCATACTTAAGCATAGAAATGATTACAAAAATCTAGATAATTCAACTTTTCTGGAAAATATATCGCAATAAAATAAACTTTCGTGATATGTAGCTTCAATTACCCATAAATTAAAAAAGGGTTACGATATATGTTTTGAAATGTTTTGAAATTATCGCAATGACAGTTATGTATACGACATGCAGTCGAATTACTACCATAGCGTTTATTAGTTAATCGAGAAACAACGCGGGCAAACCTTTAATTGATTCAACATTTCTTGACCACTTATGAGCCTTCCCTCTGTTACCACTCTAGACTTTTTTGCTTGTGTGTTATGTGGTTTAGTTGGCGGAGGTAGAAGAACATTTGCCAGAGACTCTGATATCATGCCTCTCCTTACCAATGGATTGGTAAGGAACGACCCACAGGTGCTACATGTCCTTACCTCATCTTCTTCTAAAAACAATGCAAATATTGTTAAAGTATTAAAAAAATATATATCAAATATTTACTGCTTTCTTGAAGTGTGTTTAGATATTACGAAATATAAAAAGAATTACTTTATCCGGCAGTTTTTTTTTTGTTTATTTTTTGTTTGTTTGTTTGTTGTTGTTTTTTTTTGCAGAAAAACGGCCTTACCGTTACTAATTAAATTTACAAACAAATGCATCGTACTCGGCAAGTTTTACCTTCAATAAATGTTGGCTTCACTATCTGCGATTGATCAATGATAGAGGGGTTAAATGGACAAATCCCTGTTTTCGTGAAACCGTCAGCTATAGTTGCAGGAGCTATTTTGTCCATTGCGTGCTTTAATAACACCGGGAATTTTGCCCTTCCTACGCTTACTGCAGTTTTTAGATATCCAAGACTTGACAGTGTTTTGGTGTAAGCGTCCTTCAAAGGTGATATAATCTGAAAGTATTTAACACATTCATCTAAAATGTTTGAAATTTAAAAGTTGCACATGTGTGCAGTTACAATAAACTGATTAATACTAAATGTATTATAAATGATAATTTAGTTGGATGATTAGATTGTTTAGAACGTCCGACTCTCTTTTCTAAGCGAGATGTACACATTTTTGTTAGTACTGAATAGCAATTAAAGTAAAATATGTTATTAAAACATCAAATAATATTTCCCAAAGCAAATAGTGGTTACATAAACTTGTATATTACATGATGTGGTAAGCTTATTACAAACTTACGTTCACGTCCAATGGCTGAAGAATATGCGTGGAATGACCAGGGAGACCAAGAAGAACAATATTTTCAGTTATCGCTTTTTCAACTACTGGAATACTAATATGAGAGTCGTGGTTATCCATGATAAGTAGGACGGGTCTTGTTCTGCCACAGTTTGGAACAAACACGCTGAAAAACCATTTTGTGAAAAGTTCACGGTCCATGTAGCCGTTTTCACTGTGGCCAAAATACCATGACGACGGTACACTATCTGTGTAATTCTGGTGAGGTAATGAACCCTATAATAGAAAGTACACGATAGACAACGTATCATCATTATATATCAGTATAGAGTATAGTATACATGATAATTTTATACAGTTATCTTGTACATGTAAATAGAATTATTCTTTCTTCAAAGCGTTATCGCTAGCAAATGCAGACTTAATAAAATACCTTGTAAATTATAAGAGGTGGTAGAAAGTGTCCATCTGCTGAGACACAAAGATGTGCTGTCACGTGATCTCCTGAAGATGTCTTTCTTCTAAACAAATGCCCTCCACGAGGCCCGATTACTTTCGACCTAGGTGCCTCCTTTCCTGTAAATCCAGTTTCGTCACAATTGAAAATCTAATAATAAAACATAACAGTTACTTAAATTATTCATACACGGTATGCTTATTATAACGATCCGTTGTTAAATATTCTGTGTTACCTGTATTTTCATATTTCATATGGATATATTTTATGTATTAAATGCCATAATATATAAAAAGAGTAATATATGTAAAAGAGATAATTAGTTCGTTATAGAACGATTATTCTATATAAGTGCCAACATAAACAATGCTTACTCTTTCTGGTTTGTCTTTCAAGTTGTATTTATCAAGAACAGACTTGAGAAGAGGAAAAAAATTGTCAAGCATCCTTGTAGATGACATGGATACTCGGGCATTGTCCATGTTTTCTGCCTTTCTTTGAGCCAAATCTGGATGCCGCCCGAAAAACTTTGTAAACCAATCATCAGAGGGTCCTTTTTGGAGATTAAATAGTGACGTACGGCCTGAAAAATAGCAACAAATTACAGTACTTTAAACAGAACTATATTTTCATTGTACTTGGATATTGATGTAAGAATTCTTTAAAATTCGTCCAAAATATGATTATGATAGACACATTATTATTGGTCGAGTAGATTCTAAAATTAAACCCGCAAATTAAACATTGAACATTTTATATTAAAAAACACACCTGATTGTATAACTATCTCTTGTATGTAACACCTGATCATAGCCCTGGAAAGTGGAAAGCCTTGATTCGCCATGTATAAGAGATACTGGACAAGGGAGTCCTCTTCGTGTTGAAGTAGTTGCCTTTCTGGTCCAGGTCTGTTTCCCGAGTACTTGTGTCTAACTTTGTCAGAGAGAGTTGATTTTGGTACTCCGAATATTCTAGCAGCCGCTGTAATTTTCATTTTTCTCTGACGCACAGCTGACAAAGCTGACGCTAGTTGATCTTCAGTGTATGTCTTTGGCATTATAATACCTAAAACGTTTAACCAGTAATGTATAATAATAATTTTTATTTCGGAAATAAAATAAATTTTAAAGTTTGTAAAACAAATTTCAGCGCAAACAGCTTGTAGATCTATAAAAATAAATAATAAAAAAAAAAAAAAAAAAAAGGTCAACAGTTGGGATCGAACCCGGATCGCAAATGTGTAACGCCAGTCATCATACCTCGCGGCCACAAAGGATTGTTGAAATAGTGCGGTTGTAATATATATATAACCGTAAAAGTAAAACTAGCATCGATTTTATGCCATATTATTTATTCTTGCTGTAAAAAACTTCATTTGACTTTCTGTGAATCTTTCTCTGTGATAGTAATAATTTAACATGTATATTTAATGCTGGAATCATATTTTAATAATTTTTTTCACACATCGTCTGCAAGTAAATTGTTCGTAAATATTAATTTACCTCGAATGGGGCCTCATTTATTGCGCATGCGCATTTAAGCTGGAAATCCCCAGGTGTTGTTAATAGGTGATGCGACAAGTTCCGTAAAGTAGCTACAAACAACCGGCAATTCCTCAAAATAAATAGACCGCTGTTCTTATTTATTTGCTGCGTTGTCTAGAAAACAAACGTCTGTATGATTTGATGAAGTTTCTAGATGCTTTATAGTTAAAAATAAACCGAAATGAACGAAAATGATAAACGGCCGGAAAACTGTTAGTGTCCGGAAACTGCTAGGAAACCAGTATACCTAAACAGAACAAAGGGAAAACAAAACAAAAAATAAATGGAATTTTATCGAATTTGGTATTTTGATCAAGGATGACCAAAAATGATATGAAAATCTAAAACCAAAATTATAAATTTAATGTTTGTCATACTTTTTCATAAGTCATCTGTCATTTAAAGCTCCTGATATACGACAAAGGTAAGTTCAAGGGCTGATAACTCGATTATGAGGTCGGTTGGTTAAAATGTTTCAATTGTCATATTCTAAGATTATTGGAATTTTAAATAATATCTCATTTACAATTTCCTGTCTGCTTTATGACTATATGTAACATAAGCATATGCCTTCAATAGATAGCAAATGCATAATTTAGGTCACACTTGTAAGCTATACTGTTCTCAAAACATGTACATTTCTACATTATTTTCCAATAATTCTATTAAGCTTTTAGCCACTTTTTCCATAGCCACACCGAACCCCGAAAATGTAAGGGCTGATATACAAACGTACGGAAGGACGGACGGACAAGGCAGCGACTGTATGCTCTCCCCACCTAACATTGAAAGCATTACACATGTAACAATGACACATTTCCTCTGAACAAGATTAACATTTATGTTCCACATTATCATTCAAAATCTCCTTTAGTGGCATATATAATCCATATCATAATTTTATCAGCTACCAAAAAAAGACATTTCTAAATCAAAACCTTTATTACTTTGGCCTTTTTATTGTAATCGGTACTTATAAACTGATAACTAAATTTAATTCAGTATCTTATAAATACTGAGTGTGCATATGTTCCAAATTTCCGAAAATGTAGCTACAATTAAAAACATGAATCACGAGGTCAAAATCTGTGTCAAATAATCCTCAACTTCTAGGAACATTTTGCAAACTTTAAGGTTGAAGCTCTAATTACAAAATGATCACTTAATCAAAATAACGAACTCAGTCCTGCATCCTAAACATTACACATGCTCAAATTTTATAGTTTTTATATAAAAGTAGGTATCTAAATCAATTCTAGGCCATATTATATGAGAGTTAAATAGTTCACATGATCTGTAAAAAATCTTTAAAAAAATCTATGTAGGCTTATATCAGAGTTTCAATCTACACCTGAAACTGTGCTAATCTTCCAAATTTCAAAGCTGTAAATTAATGATGTTAAAGTAGTTACTTAGTCCCCGTGGGTAGGTCCAATTTGGACCAGCGGGAAAAGCACTAATCAAACTTGGTAGTGGCCTTTTCTACAATGCACGAGAAGTCAATATTGACAGTATTTCATGACCTGTTCAAATTTAAAAGGTTCACTAGAATATGCTATACAACTAACACCTAAGCTCTAGATATTTGGATTTGTGTAAGGTTCTCTTAAATGTGACTATATTGAATCATTAGATCAAAAGGGCAATGCCTATTTTGACCACAGGGTCATAAAAAAGTAGACGTGGAAAACTATACACTGCTACGGATGAAATGCCTAAGCAGTTGACCCTGCATTTAAAGAGAAAACATTTTTTAAAGATTTTTCTATATGATTCATTGTAAAAAAACAACAACAATTGATTCCCATTGAAAGGCCAATTCTGACACAAGGGTTGTGATTTAAAAATGTTAGATTCATTACAGCCTAATTAACATTATAATCTCATTTACAAGCACTTGTGTGAAAGAATTGAAAAAATATATATCTTTGTAAAAACTACTTTTTTCAAAAACTTTTTACAATGACTATTTTAGAAATTCAAATTATTTATTTTAAAGCTGAATATTTTCAACAAAAAATATATATAGCTATCGTTCTTCTCTACATAGGTAATAAAAACAAAACTGATAAAAGTTAAACATGGTATGTTCGCTTTCCAACATCCATATTTTTTAACAAAAACATTCCAAAATTAAAATAGAGTAAACTTACATATACTGAATAAAAACACGTATAGTCCTTTCAAGTAACAAAAATACTATATATTTATATTTACAATGCTGGAAACATAAAGTATGAGATTTTGCAAAAAGTTAAAAAATTTAAGATCTTTTCATAAAAAATAATTGTAATAAAAGTATGAATAGGATGCGTAGGATGTAATACGCAAAATCAGAAAGATGCGCAAAAATAGTTATTAACTTTATGGTAAAAATAATCATATATAATATTGTTGTATTCAAAACTCGTTTCCTTATATACACAATCTACAAGGGAAAAACACATTTTGAAGAGAACATATGCATGCATAAAATTACATGTTTTTTTCTTTCACGTGACAAACAACCGTCATTACCTTCTTATTTTTGTTTTTGTGAACATATGAACTAAAGTAACTTAGTTTTATCTTGATGACATTATGATTTAATCTAAAAATAACAATAATTTTGCTAAAATTTAGAGGGTTTAGAAATACAACTCTTTAAATACCTAAACTCACAACTTTTTTCTGTTATTTTCGTTACGCGAAACTCACTTAACAATTCAATTAAAGCTTTAATCAGTGAAAATAAAGCAAACAAAAAGGCGTTGCATTTCTAATAAAACGTAATTATTATATACATATCTAGAATAAAAAGATCTTATAATAGGTAGATTTGTAGTGAAGTAAATTGAAGTAACATTATTAATAGTTACATTATTACTATACCAAAATAATGATGTCTCAAACATATTTTCAAATGCTTGAATAATATAACATTGAAAACGATGACAGGAACTTTATAACCTATAGTAAGTGAAGATCTTAAAAATAAATTAATTGATAAAAAGTGTATAAAGCTACATATCTGATGAATTTTTATTTGAAAATGATCTGTACGTAAGAATTATAAGTATATATATTCTTAATATAGTATATAATCTTACTGATTATATCCGTTAGAAAATTAACAATACATAGTTTTTTCCTTCTAAGTTACATTTTGTGCATAAAATATCAGGGAAAGCGATAATTAATATGCGATTCCAACGGAAACCAGTTGTATATCAGAAATATTATTTTTTTATTTTTACCTATTTATTTAGTCTTTATTTTGATTTTTTTGTTTGATATCTGACATGCTTTGTAACGTCAATGTCGGTTGAAAAAAATAAGCAAATAAGATTAAATAACATGAATTAAATTCAATCAATAAAATAAAATAAAAAGCTAGTAGCTACAGACAATGAACAATGTGATCATAGGACATGGATACCCCTACACTCGTTTCGTTTCGTTTATTGATATCAGCACAGTTTGCATATAAACAAATTCAAGAGCAAACACATTATATAACTAAATCGTACAAAGTCACAATGATGAACAACATGCAATATCTCAGAGGACAACTTATGTAATGAGATTACATATGGTGAACATTCTATAATATGGTTAGCTATCTATTACATAAGAATAAAATCGTATAAAAATCAATCAGTTCAGAAGAGAATAATAAATAAGTATAAGTAAATCTAAATATACGCAAATCAGTGTCAGAGGTAGTATAATCTAGATATATACTACGTAGTAAATTTTGAAAATTGAAGCCAAGAACGGAATCGAACCACAGAGAAAGAGGTCTTTGTTGGTCTGCCGTAGTTAACCTTTGTTTCTTATTACTAATTGGTCAAAATCTACCGTTAAAATTACGTCGCATGTAAGATTGATACAAATATTGGCTGTAATTATCTTTTTTAGTAAACAAATTGGTTATGGCTTCTGTTGTCGCTGTTGTGTTTTTATACAGTTATTACTTTAACAACATAGTCATACACGTATCTGCTTAAAACTGCTCAAATGAGGAGTAAGAATTTTGAATACATACTAAGAACCGCTTAGAAGGTATTAACACTTTAAGCTATGATAATAAATCTTACATATTGTGTGTGCACAATTAACATATAAAAATACATTTACATATTAATACAAATAAAAAAATAAAGGAGTTTTAACTGTAATATTAGTTGCATTACAATTACATTGACAATATCAATAAACGAAAACGAATTATTTTTCCAGTTTACTGACGTACAGTAGGACATTCTAAATGTACAAAAATATGCAGATATAAATTTAGAAACTAATTTGAAAAAAAATCAACTGCCTGGACCAATGGGAACTTACTTTATTGTTAAGGTAATGGCGATAAAATATTTGCATTGCAGAAATTAATTAGGTCATTTTTCAGGATAAGTACACCCATCGAATGATAAGGTTGTATAAGCAATGTCTCCTTTTCTGCGGGAAAGAAAATCAGTAAAACTCAAGAAAGTTACATTAAAAATGGCATGCATTAAATAATTTGGTCATTTTCTATTGAAGTTAAAGCAAGTTGGGTTGAAACGTACACAAAGAAAATGAGGTTCATTGAAAGATTTTGTAAAACACAAGATTATGCAATTTAGAAAAAAATATATATTCGAAAGTAATCTATAGGAAAAGATAATGTTTTTCCTCATTAATGGCCCAAACATGATTTTTCTAAATGATTTCACATTCATCATGAGCATATTAGAAATAAAAATTACCTTGCAAACATGTGAAAGCATGAATATAAAAAAGCACAACAGAATGCAAACGAGCTATGTTACAATCAAATGACTCTTTAAAATGTAAGTTTTTGTAAATATTCATAATTCCAAATATAATCCCTGCATGTCAATTCTTATCTAAAAGATAAACTTTATAATGTCTAGCGTATAATTTCAATAGAAATATGCTATTGTAATATTTTATTGCAAAACTGGTTTTTATTACATCTAATAATTTACAAAATGTGATGCAAACAAAATCAGGCATTATTGAAAATTTTATTTATTTATTCATTCATTTATCTATTTCTATGATTTTTTTCTTCTTTTTCTTTTCATTTTCACATCAAAAACGCATTTATTACAGTTAACAGTTAATGGCAATAGATCTACAAATACTACCAAAGAAAATAAAACATGCACCACATGATTAATAAATTTTTTTCTAAGAACACGCTTTAAGATCCAGCATGTACAAATTCCGTTACATATGCTTTCATTTGAATGTTTTCGTGAACGATACTTGCAATAAATTCTAACAAAAGCATATAAGCAGTTAAACTTATAAACTTAGTGTAAATATATGTTGTTGATCTTAAAATATATAAGTATACATAATGTCACTATATTATGTTTACATATCGTACTATCGAAACTTTATACAAAAAACTAAAACTTGATATATTAATTGCTTTTGTGTGTTTCGCTGCGTGGCGCGTTTTTTCTAAAGAAAAGCTAACGAAAAACAACATGAATGACAGAAATCAAAAACCATACTATAACGCATACATACATACATACAGACATACGTATACGTGCGCGCGCACATTCACAGCCGCAAATCACACTTACACACAAACACACAAAAACATAAATAGTTCTGTTTTGATCAATTTTTACTCTTAAATTAATTAAAACATTCTTCAGTATTAGTTTTCCCATCGAATGATAAGATCGTTAAAGAATGCTTCTTTTTCTGCTTTTTCTGCGAGAAGAAATTCAGGAAAACATTAAAAGTTAACATTAATAATGGTAAGCATAAAATAATTGTCATTTTCTTATTGAAGTTAAAACAAGTTGGGTTGAAACGTACACAAACAAAGAAAATGAGGTTCATTGAAAGATTTTGAAAAACGCAATCTAATGCAATATTGAAAAGATCTTAACTGCGAATGCAATCCCTAGAAAACAGATAATTTATTTCCTCATAAATCGATAATGAAAGATGTTTCTCTACATGTTTTCACATGAGTACAATAAAACAAAAATAACCTATTAACATAATCTCGAATAATTCGCACATTCATTTGACAATAAAATCGGTTTAAAATATAAAGCAAGAAATTAAAGCAACCTAGAATTAAGGAAAAGCAAGTAATAAATTTAAAAAAGTATTCAATCAAAACATATCAAAATGATAATGTATAACAAATTAATTATTATAAACGTAATGGTTCTGCGCATAACAAGTAATTATTGTCGGTTTTTTATTCGTTTTTCCTTTTTCTTTTATTCGCAGAAATATCTTTTTTATTTCCACATAAAAACTCATCAAAATCAAGTAACAGTAATTGACCGTCAAAATAATACTGAAGTGAAAAAAAAGCACCACATAAATAGTTACATATTTTTTCTGAGAATACGCTTAAAGATACATTTATGTCTCAAATATAAATAAATTCATAGAAATGCTTTCATGAACGTTTTTTGCAAGAAAATCTAAACAAAAGCATATTCGAATTTAAACGTTTAAAGAGTAAATATATGTTGTTGGTCTTGATGTATTTATAAACATAGTTGTCTTGTAACATAATGTCACTTTTTCAGTTTTACTTATCTCACTGATCAAACTTTATTTTGATTTGGTGCAAAACGTTTTATTACTTGTGTTTGTTGCAAGGCGCGTTTCCACCAGAGAAAAGACATATTGTAAAAGAAAAACAACATTTAACAGACAAAAATGAAAATCCAAACTAAATTAACACATAGAAGCACAATCACATATAAATACACGCACGAGCGAGCGAACACACACACACACACACACACACACACACACGCACGCACGCACGCACGCACGCACGCATACACACGAACAAATCTAAGATCGATAGATGTCAATTTTATCATAAATTGATTTATGGCACCTCATACATTTCTCTACTTCCTCTGCACACGACGTACAACTGTAGAAGTGGTTGCATGGTGTGAACAGTATTCTCCGAGGGCAGGTTTTACAAACCTGACAGAGATTTCTTTCCCGTAAAGTTGATAGACGTTCTCCAATTGACGGTTGCCTTGTTCTTCTAGCTACCATCTGTCTTCTGTCTAAATTTAATATACAAAAAGATATATGTACATGTAATAATCTGATATGTATGTTGCTTCAATGATGGTGTTTTTGTCGTTTTGTTATCGTGATTACGTCTTTTCCTTGATTATACTCTCGTTGAATACTCAAAAAATAGTTTGCATCAATTCTATTTACTTTTACAATTACAATGACATTGAAGACTGACACCCCTTCTGTCGTATTTCTACATGGTTGTGTCTGACATGTAAATAAATCCATTATTTTTAAAACAAAATTTTCCAATATTTTGATATTTAATACTTTTCTGTGTAATATTTATCAAGAGAATGAACGTTTTTGTTTCTTGCGAAAAGTTGCAAATAACTTATTTACGGATCGCGGGACATATATATTAAAAATACATAAATCAACGAGAATTGTGTACAGATTGTTTAGAATATACCAATAATTGTGACTAATTCAGCTGTTGTTATAATCATATGTATTAAACGGTTACATTGGTGTATGAACAGTTAAATAACAGACCACTTATAAGTTCTTATGCGGACTATAGAAGACTGGCTTTTATTATTTAAAGCTCCAAAACACACACGTGTTTTTTAAATTGCATTACTGATAATGGTATTATTCATATTCTTTTCTGGACATAATCACACAAAAACTAGTATTAAAATTGACTTTTTTCAAACTTACGATATATACTTCCTGCAGTTTAATAAGGAAAGAAATATGTGTTAAAGATCCTGTAACACATTTTGTTCATGGTTTTATTTCATAAATATGATAATCAAATTAAGATTTGTCAATATTGTAAGTTCCAATAAGCATTATTTATAAAGTTATTACCAAATTTAACATTTTATGTAAATAAAGGGAGGTAATAAGAAATTTATTTTCTATAAATGTCAAGTCAAATTTTCCAATAAAAAATGAATGCATATAATTTATTGATAAAATATAATGTGCACAAATATTTGCATGTAAATTAAGGGAGGTAATTAGAAATTTATTTTCTATAAATTCTAAGTCAAATTTTCCAATAAAAAATGAATGCATATAATTTATTGATAAAATATAATGTGCACAAATATTTGCAGTACACATTTTCCATATTCTTCGATGTTTGAAAATTGTTTTATTTGCATAATTATATACATATATAATTCTTTGTTAATATAACTTTTGAAATACATGTATAACTTTTTGCAATAAACGGGCATTAGAGTAGAACCACCAACCTTCGTGGGCTAGCTTGATATCTTTTCCAAATGAAAGATTCGAAAATACTGGCGTGGATCGCACTGATATCGGTGAGTGGTAAGAGGTTTAAAGTCAACAACCTTAACCACGGCCACGGAAGCCCATGTCCCAATGATTTACACACTTATAGAAATTCGAGCATTCGATAGGCAATAAATAAGATTACTTTTAAACATAAACGTACTATTTGTTTTCGCCTTATGGTGTCCAATAAGTTGACAATGGATCCATTTACATGGTATAATAATATAAAAGATTATTTCAACTATCCATTTTCAAGACCAGAAAATATCCCTAATCTCCACAAACTCTGCATAATGTCAGGGAAGAAAACACAAATTTAGGCCCACATCTCTCACATACATGTACTGATTTTTTCTGAGTTTCTCCTTAACTTAAACTTCGTTTTACTAGTGCAGTTCAGTACAATTAATATACTTACTATAGATATCTACACTTGGTTCACGACCGGGAACTTTTTGTGTAGCCACATAATCAGTTTGGTCCTGAATGCTTACCGCATTCCGTTCTTTTACTTTTACTACAAACGGACATTCTGGTCTGCATTCGGCATGTATTTCAAGAAGATTATCAGCCTGACAAGGACGGGGTTTTAAATAGCAGTCTGCACAAATTGCTCGCTTTCCTCCACCTGAAATGTATGATATTTTTTCTAATTAAAAAGATGACTCCTGGTAAATACCTACGCAAGCTCTATCTTATTATAGAAAAACAGTTTTAAAGTATTTTCTTGTCCTACATAATCTTTGCAAAATAGGTGACTCAGGAACACAGTCATACTTGACATTAGGGACACAAACAAAGAATTAGAATTTACAAAACATAACCACAAACAATAGCAATTTAAATAATATTTTGACAGAGGATTGTATTACAATAATTTTTTGTAGAGGTCAACAAGGGAACTCATCAAGCTTCACCGCATGCAGTTGCTGATAAGAAAACCTTTAAAGCATGTTTTCTATGTGAGTTTGTTTTCCGAGGAATAGTGATGGTCGATTCCATAGAGGATAATTGTTTAGTTGTGTAAAAATTAAATAAAATTCAAATATGCAGTTTTCATTCGGCTATGTATCTATAAGTTACCCTTGCACATTCTTTTAATTTCCAAAGAAAAAAACAACAACAGAATGCACTAGCAAAAGGTGCCCCCAATCACGTTTTGTCAAATTCGAGCTGATGATTTCATAAAGATTAGATATTTGACTTGAGGTATTTTTCTAGTAGTCCATTTAAAGACACATACTTATCGACCTAGAAAAAATATCTAATTATATTCAAAACAAGACATAGTATGACAATCAAAGGAATTCTAAATGTAAAAAGTAGGTGGTTAAAATTTTCATACCCGTATGGCTAAAACCTGCTTCAGAAAACATATCCCTGACATTCTTACGTGGTTTTCCTTCTCCTTCTTCTTTTTCTTCTTCCTCGTCGATTAATTTCTGCAATGTCCTGGAAAAGCGTCCATGAATATTGTCCGACATTTTAAAGGACTTTCTTTACGTTCTGTTTCTAATTCCTTAAACAATTACTTAAAATAATGAGGATACAGATCAGCAAGGCTAGGCACAGAACCTAGCCATCGACACAATTCAGCCAAACTTACATGAACCCACACTGGGAAACCAGTATTTATGCATATTTCAGGTAGGTTATTTTTAATTCATTTAGACTGCTTGTAAAAAATAACGATCGTTTCTAAATCTCAAAAAAATAAACAAATAAAATATGTTATTATATTTGAAGAGTTTTCATTCTAATGTGTTGATATTTCTTCATGTGTTTATCGTTTTCATAGCTTCTTTTGTTTCTCTTTGTTTAATTTTATCCAAAAGAAATTTTTGACTGATTTTCAGATATGTGTTTGGACAGTTGTCTCATTTATACACGTTTCACAGCTTGCGAACCCTGTCATTCACATTGTTCTTAGTCACCTTGTATATAAAAAAACGTATTGTGCAAAAGTAACGCACAAAATGGCCAAATTGAGTACCACGTAAAGTAAATGAACCAATATATTTATTGGAAATCAAATTGAAAAAAATGAACCGTTTCTGCGACATATCTCTCATGTCTCATCTAGATATTTCACTGTAAAATAATGTTATCCCTTTACTTACCCTGATACTTTTCTTAGTCACAGCTTTTCACAGAGTGAGTTGTGTTACATTTTCTTTAATTACATATTCCTGCATCACTGGATATACACGGTGATAGTTAACAAATTGTTGACTACTTTGGGACATAACTGGAGACCACAGGACACTTTTTTTAAAAAAGCAAAAAGGCTTCTCATTTAAAGGACATATCAGTGTTGGCTTATTTAGAGGTTTGATTTTCTAAAAGAAAAATGTCATATTGCCTTACAACGGTATCTCGCATTAACCGCATTAACCAATACTGCCTATGAACATAGTTAAACCTGATAAAAGATAAAAAGATGTTAAAATACCTCATTAAAAATGTCATAACAGACGTTTTGAGATTTGCCTTTTTTTTTACTGTGTGCACAGAAATATGCGCATATATATGCTTTTTTCAACCGACATTGCAACACTTTTAATTTGACTGCGCTGAAGGATTTCAATGTTTCCATATTCCATATTCCTTCATGCAGACAGATTTCAAACTATGATCATGTGTATACTTTAAACGATAATGTGATATTTGGTTACATCTGAAAATTAATTTTGTCAAGTTATAAATTATTTCTATTTCATACTTCTTGATGTGTTAAAAATAATTACAGTTCTCTAAATCTTTACTTGGTGTCAAAATTTATAAAATTGGCTAACTTCTTCTTGTGGACTTGTTGCATATCATGTCTTGTCTCCAATTGAAATGTCAATATAATAAGTGTCTTCGATTTCATTAGTTTCTTTTTTGCAAATTGATGAATTACCGTTAAATCTGAAAGGGGCTCCACTGAGGTCCAAATGCCGAAAACAGAAGATTTGAATTTCTTATATGGATATGCTGAGGTATTTAAGATAAATACAAAAGATGCCGAAGATGATTATTAAGAAACATAAACAGAAATGAATTAAAAATAATGTCTTTGTGCTGTACTTAGTCTGATTTCATTGAAAGCATTGCAAAGCTTTTCACCATTGGATTATTGTTCACAATTAGACTGAATAATTATTCTGGTAATAAATTAGTGAACAACAAAATGCACAAAAGTAATTGGTACATGTATTTTGAAAAAAATATTTCCCTAACAACCAGGTAAAAAAATGATTCGTGTAATCCTTTTTTTAATACACGTCTGTATTACTTATTTTATCAACTCATCAATAAAAGTCAGGTTATTTTAATTTTTAGGACATAATAACTTTAAAAATACTTTCATTGTACTTCAATATAATTATTAATATCATTTTTAACTGTACCATTTTAGAGATATTTTTTTGGTTCAATCGGAAACAGAGATAAACACGAAAGAATTAATGAGAAATTTAAAAAAATCATATAGCACTAGCAGATGCAATAAACTTAAGATTATGTGATAAAACAAGTAACGTTCAAAGTTGCAGCAGTTATTATCAGTTAAAATGTTCATCAATAGAAAAGATCACGTTAGATTAACAGCCAAAGATTTTCTGAACATGTAACTTAAACAAATGAAAACTATATTAATTATCATATTACTTTAGTACATCTTCTAACTGGCTAATTATTAAGTGCCATATTTATGTCATTGATCTGTTGTAATAACCTCAACACTTACAGATTTAAATCGTTTACAAAACAGTACCAAACAAAAAATGTTCAATGAATAACAATTGAATATACATGTATATAAATTACACGTGGGTTTTTGGGTTACAGTAAAAAAAATATCATCCCGAAGAAAATACTGTTATCTGAGGCATTAACTTAGGGTAACAGTTTTTTCACGAGGAATGATAGTTTTAGTTAGTACCCAAAAAACCCATGTATAATTAATTTTATTACCCCGAACAAATCATTTGAAAAAATTAACTAAATTTAACTGAAACGAAATTGAAACAAGTGTATATATGACTCAACTATCCTTACCTTGTAAGTTGAAAGAAAACATGTGACCAGATGTTTATACTGTTAAAAAGTATTGAAATAGTACAATTTCTAAATCACGTGGTAAACTTGCTTTAAAAGTAAGAATAACCTCCAGCGGTCTATGGGAAATTGACTTTACAAAAAAAAGTGAGGGGTAATAACATAGTATACGAATAATACGTTCTTAATGAATATTTAAAAAGGCGGCTTTTCTAGAAAAGATAGGCATAATACTAATAGGTTATTAAAGTCCATTAAATGATAATTGGTTGGATAAAACAACATAAGATAATATGAATTTTAGAAACTTTATTCAAAGATTATGTTCTCTTAAGAAAAGAAATATAATTCAGTTTTGGTTAATGAGAATTGACATTAAACATATCATTTTTTAGAGAAAATGTACCTTCAACTTTTTATTTTCTGTGATTAAATAAATAGAAGTCTTTTATTTCAATTCTACAATTTGAATGTTTTGTATTATGTACTCGATTCTGTTGACTTAGTCAAATTTCTACGCTTTGTAATATGCATGTAAAGCCAGCTTGTTTAGTCGACTTCTTTTTCAAAAAAGTGTTACCATAATATTAACTAAGGTACTTTTTAAGCATATTCTTATACAAACTAAAATTTCATTAAAGTTCATTTTTATTGAGTTAAAGTATTTTCATAAAACTTATTTGATCTTTCGATCAATCTTATTCGATCTTTCTTATTTTTCTTCAATTTAATCTAAAACAGTTATAAACGTTTTCATTTCATGCAAATATTTTGTTCATAATTGTTCTCCGATAGAATTAAGCAAAGAATTACACATAATTATATATATATTCGTTACAGTAATATACGTCCAGGAATACACAAATGTACAAAAATGAATATAAGAATTCTTGACACAGTTAATGCATTTCCCAAAACCGCAAGAAAGCTGATTTCATTTTCTCTTTCGATAAGTCAATTACTCCTCATTTATTTTTACTGCCTCTTCGATAAATGATCTGCACACGGGACAACAATGAAGAAAACCTTCACAGTTTTCACATGTCGCCATGTGACGACAAGGAAAGAAGACGATGCATGCATCACTGTCGAGACATACTTTACACCTTAGAAGTTGCTCCAGTTCTAGTATCTCTGAAATAGATTATAAGTGCATCAAATATGTGACATTTTGTATTTAAATATAAATGATTTTTGATGATCACAATTGATGTAACTTGAATTTTCGTTCCTTGGTGTGCATTGAATCTCCCATTTTCTTTTTTTTTTCAAATGTCTGTTAAATTTCATTTTGTGGTAATTTCAAAGTTTTGCTCAATGATTTATAAATCAAAACCTTTTTAATCATATGGAGATTGGAGAAATTATATTATCATCCTGCATATGAAAAACAGTTAAATATTAATGGAAGTGTCTAACGCATAACTTACATTGCTAACATAAATATTGTGCGAATACACCATTAAACTGTTGAATTTGGTATATCTATGTGTTTTTAAAAAGAAAATATATAAGGTATGGTGCATGATATGTTGCCCTTTATTTCTTGTTGCATGTATTGTCTAGTTCCATGTTTTAACTTATTTTATGATAAAATAGATTTAGGGTGTTGTCAAAACAAGGGAAGCACATCACTGTGTTACCCATATGTAAGGCTTTTAAGGTATTCACTTATAATTGGACAAATGAAAGATTTATTTCTGAAGTCCATTAAACAGGCTATATCTATCACATTATAACACAGTGATCATTCCATTTAACTTTGTGTCCCTCTGTTCTAATCTACTTTACATCTAATTATCTCCCTTTTTCCACGTAGATAAATTATTAATTAGACATATGAATTATATCGTACACATTGGACAAGCTCAACTTTTCTCTAGAATCCTTTATTTATCTTCTTGTTAAAATGTGAGACTTAATTAAAAGCAAACAATGAACTGCAGAACTTTTATCTTTGTTACTCAAATAAGGTCTTAATTTTTTTTCCGGGCAAGAGTTTTATATAAGCTTTCAACTTTCTACTTGATCCTAATTGTAATATATGTATTGTATTTTTGCATTGAAAACATGGAAGAAAGAGGAAATATGAGGAAATAAATATGAAGAGGAAATAAATATAAAGAGGAAATAAATATGTTTAAACCAACCTAAAAAGATCACTATCAAAAACATAAAACATTACGGTACCAATTTTTACAAAACAAAATATATTTACTAAGTTATTATTTTTTACTTTTTATTCGACATTCGTAATTGTTGAAATGTTTTTGTAATTTCTTTATTTTAATTAATTAATTAATTTCTTTATTCTATAAAGAGATACTAGGGGTCATTGAAAAAAATGTCATCTAAAACAAGTTTTTATCTGCAAGTTTCAGCAATATACCTTTTTCTGCATCATCCAACTCGCCACTTAATTCTTCAGGGTTATCGATTAGTTTTCCTCTTTCCTTTTGGGTGTCACCTTGCAAGACAACATATCTGCCTAGAAAATATTTGAAAACGCAATAATATGGATCACATAAAATTCTTTTTTATAAAATACCCATAATGCAAATGAAAATAATGGAGGTCAAACATCATAAATGAACATAATTACCACATTCGAGAACAAAATTACTTTTTCTATCAATTAGATATATCACTTGTTCACAACTGCGTCCATAAAATATTTTCCTGCGTCATAAGTACGCATATTTGTTAATAGATGATCTAGTCATACAGACAATGTGTAACATTGAATGAACGATTTCTTCTGTAATTGTTATTACATATTAATCTACCATTAATGCCATTAATCTATCATTTATGTATTGCAAGATAAATAAACATACAATTAAGAACTTCTTTAACTTCATCGACACATTTAAAGTTTTAATTGGGTCAAGACATTAACAACTTTTAAAAGTACGGTTCACATTTATCACAAGAAGCAAAAATATAGTGACTTACTCCCTTCTGTTTTTAACCTGGTCTCAAGGAGTTCGTCCAAATTTGTCTTAGTCCTGAGTTCCTAAGTAATCAAAAGAAATTTGAAATGAAACTCATGTCTAAGTACTGTCGCTTTCTTTATGGCTTTATGGTATGTCAAAATGCATAGTTTGTTTCAACACCGGATAGTCATTTCAAGTTTTAATCACAACTTTTTCACACAATATTTAATTTTACATAAATGTTATTATAATAATGCAGTACATGCGTGAATTTCTGTACATGTTTGTGCATGTGTGCGCTTACAAAAAATGAACTAAAACAGCACTGTGCGTTTGATTTATCAGTATATACATCTAGTACTAGCTAAATGTATACTCATACAAATTTTTCTGAATGTTATGAAAGACAAAGTACAAGAAATTTTATTTTTTGCAAACGTGATAAAAAATAAGCGAAAAAAATAAATATATAAGAAGTAAAACTATTATTACAGATATATGCAATAAAATTCTATCAATTGAACATGTATATTAGTTAAAATAACGGTTATTTTTTTTACATTACCTCTTCATAAAACTCCCTTGACCAAATGGAATCAGGGGATTGCCCAAAACCTGTAAATGCCGTTTTAAAATTATGCAAAATTCTTTCATTTATTAATTACAATCATTTCAATAATTTTCAACTAAAACAGTGTTTTAATCATTGCCTAGTTATAACAAGAGCTTTCACTAAAAGTCTTTTATACCCCGCCCCAATCCCAACTTAATGAAAATGTGGAGTCTGAAGGCAAATTTGATTTCGACCTATATTTTATGATCTTTCACCTTCGTACCAAATATCATTTAAGAGCTTTGTAAAACGACAATAATTTTCTGTAAACATTATTTTTGACAAAACGGGAGAGATCTATTTAAGAAAATGGCTGTTTGAAGCCCAATTTGACCTCATCCTGTACAGAAGCATGACATAGATATATTTTAAAATTATTACAATACATTGTGTCATTCGCGAGTTATAAAAAGAAAATAGTGGATTATATTGAGACAAGAAGTAACCATACATTTGTGTAATATTAGTGGTTTGATGCTAAATTCGACCACGACCAGTAACCTGCGTACAAAAATATTAATAATTAATATTCATTGTCTTGTAAGGGACTAATCATCTGAAAACAATGTTTTTCGTCACTGCTTTTTTTAAACATGACAAAAACTATGTAAAAAAATAATATTGTTCTAAAGCCAACTTGGAGCTCCTCTACCTGTAATTAAATATGTTACATCTAGGTACAAAATGTTATCAACCGGAAACAATGTTTCTATTTGACCTTATTCCAAGCAGCTCCAAACGCAATCCCAATCGAGGTCTCTAAATAAATTTACTGTATACAATGTCTGCTCATAATACCTCAATCCTTACTCTAGTTACCGTCCTGAAACCATCATTTTTTACTCTTTTTTAATAAACTGTGACATGATTTCGACCCTCGGGTATCCAAAAGCAATTCCAAGAGAGGCATCTACATAAGGTTGGTTTTTCAAATAAGTCATCCGCATTTCTAGTTATTAACCAGAAATCATTGTCTCTCTTACGTAACATTGATATTGAACTTCAACCAAGGTATCTCAAAAGCAATCAAAAGCAAGACATACCAGGTTTGACTAAAATATCTGATTCCTAACTTAAGTTATTTACCGGAAATCCTTTTTTACAGTTTAAAGTAGCAGTAACTTTAGCCGTATAGGGGTTAAAATGCAATCTTAAGCGAGGTCTGCATATAATCTTGGTATGTTTCAAGTTTAATGGAAATATCGCACTTCTAACACATTAAACCATTCGGAATTTAGTAACAATGTCTTTGACCATATGGGTACCAAAAGGAATCCCAAACTAAGTCTTTATCTAAGCTTGCTATATGAAAATATTTTTTAACAATTTCTCAGTCACAAGTCTTTTAATCGATTAGAAACTGTTTTTTTTTCTTCCATTTTTATCACAGTAATCTTGACCTAGACACTAGGGATCAAAATGCAATATAGCAAGGTCTCTACATAAGCTTGCTATATACCAAGTTAGGTTACAATGTCTTATTTTCACTCTAGTTATTTCCGGATTGTTTTCTATTTTAGTGACAGAGATCTTGTTCTTGATCCTATGACACTAAGGGATCCAAGCAACCGATATGTAAGGCGTTTAAGGTAGAAATTGACTAATGCTTGGGAAAATGAAAGATTTATTTCTTAAGTCCATTCAACAGGGCCTATTTATCGCAGTAGAACACAGTGATCATTCCATATAACTTTGTGTCATCCTGTTCTAATCTACTTCACGTCTAATCTAATTACATGTATCTCCCTATTCCCATGTAGAGAAATTTTTAATTTGACACATGGGTTATATCTTTCACATTGGACATGCTCAACTCTTCTTTAAGATCCTTTTCAAGTTTATACTTCTGTAGTAAATATTTATTATCTTCGTGTAAAAAATTAAAATGAATTAAAAGCAAGCACAATAAACTGCAGAATTTGAATTGTTTTAATTATATAAGTTGTTTAAATGTTGTTGTTTTTTCCAGGCGAGAGTTTGATATAAGCAGCAACTTTTTACTCGATCCTGATTGTAATTTATGTATTGTATTTTCGCATTGAAAACATAGATGAAAGAGGAAATAAATGTGTTTAAACCAACCTTAAAATATCACTATCAAAAACATTAAACGTTACGGTACCAATTTTTACAAAAACAAAATATATTTCAGTTTTATTCGAAACTGTTCAAATGTTTTTGCAATGACATTATTTTTTAACTCATCGAAGATAATGTCATCGAAAACAAGTTTTTTTCTGCAAGTTTCGACAATATACCTTTTTCTGCATCATCCAACCCGCTGATTAATTCTGCATGGTTATCGATTAGTTTTTCTCTTTCCTTTTGGGCGTCATCTTGCACGACTACATGTCTTCCTAGTTAGTAGACAAATAGAGAATAGACTTGAGTAAATATTTGAAAAAGCAGCATTATAATTTTCATAAAATGTTTTTAGAAAAAAAAACATAATTCAAATGAAAATAATGGAAGTCAAACATTATAAATGAACAGTAATACCGCATTCGAGAACAAAATACTTTCTCTGTCAATTAGATATCCTTTTTACACACTTTTGTCCATTAGATGTTTTCCTGCCTCATAAGTACGCATTATTGTTTACAGATGATTTATCATAAAGACAATATCTTATATTCTTTTGTAATAGTTATTATACATTTATCATTAAATCTACCATAAATGTCATTAAACTACCATTTGTGCATTGTAAGATATATATACATACTATTAAGAACTTTTATCATATAAATGTAATTAATATTCAAAGGACACTTTCCTTTTTGTTTTTGCAGGTTTAAAAGGAGACATACCTATTTGGACAGACACAGTAAGTTTTTAATCTGTAAATTTGAACCGAATATAAATAATAAATACATGTGTAAGTATCAATCGACCCGTTTAATGTTTTAATTTGGTCAAGGCATTACCAAAACTTAAAGGTACGATCCACAAATATCCGAAAAAACAAATTCATAGTGACTTACTCTCTTCTGTTCTAAACCAGTTCTCAAAGAGTCCATCCACATTAGTTCTGCCATTCTAAGTAATCAAAAGAAATTTGAAATGAAAACTCATGTCTTAGTACTGTCACTTTCTTTATGGTTTACTTTGGTCAAAATAAGTGTATGTATATTTTGTTATACCACCGGAGATCATTTAAAGTTGTAACAAAGTGTTAACTTAATAGTCCACCACAACTTTTTAACACAAAATCATAAATGTTCCGATGAGAATGCAATATGTGCGTTTGTTTGTGTATATGTGTGCATGCTTGCCCGCGCGCAAAAAGAACTAAAACGGCTACGTGCGTGCATATATCTGGTGTACTTATAAACATTTTTTCTGAATTTCATAGATTGTGTTATTAATATAAATACAATAAATATATTGTAATTTTGGTGTGAGTGATTCAAATAAATGGATAAAATAGACATTTAAAACGTAAGCCTACTATAACAGATAAATGCAATGGAAATTCTGTAAGTTGCACATTATATATCTGTTATAATAACGGTGATTTTCTATATTACCTTTTTTATCCAAAATGGTTCATCAAACTGGCGTATCCCGAGATTCCCGAGCTCTGTAAATGTAGTTTTAAAATTAAGTACATGTTCTATTATTTCATATCAAGAATTTCCTCCTAAAATAGTTTCCTTCATTGCCTTATTATAACAAGAGCTTTCACTAAAAGTGATTTATAAACCACCCCAACTATATGAAAATAAGGAGTCTGACGTCAAATTCGAATTCGACATATATTTTACGAAGTTTCATCTGTGAACAAAATATCAGCCATGTTAAAAGATAAAATCATACGTTTAAATTATCTGTGTCAAGAAAGGGAAACAACTATGTAAAAAAATAGCCGTCTGAAGCCATATTTTGATAAAATTGTATATGAGCATGGAATATCTTTGTATTAACAGTTATTGCAATACATTGTCTCACTGAAGAGTAATAAAAGGAAAGCAGTTGGTATAATAAAGATAATAAGTAATCATACATGTGTGTCGATTTCGACCAATATTTTATGATGTTTTAACTGCGTACAAAAACAATTAATATTCATTGCCTTGTTAGGATAATCATCTGAAAACAATGTTTTTCGACATTGATTTTTGTAAAAATGTCAAAAATATGTAAAATTATTAGTGGTTTTAAACCAAATTTAAGTATGAAGTAACACCGTTGTACAAAACTTTATTACTCGGACAAAATGTTTCTATTCCAAAAATGTCCAAAAGTCTCTTAATAAGTGCTGTATACAATGTCTGATTCTGGAAGCTTAGTCCGTGCTCTAGTTATCGTTGGAAGTTATTTTTCTATTTTTTATCTTCTGTGACCTAGGTGATCCAAGTGAGGTAACTACACACGCTTGCTATATACCAAGTTTGATGACAATAAGTCATCCGCATTTCTAGTTATTAACCAGAAATCATGTTTTATCTTACGAAACATCGATCTTTAGAACAGTGATTTCGAAAGCAATTTAAGGCAAAATTTATTCAAAATCTTGCTATGAACATGTACAAGGTTCGACTACAATATCTGATTCCTAACTTAATTTATTGACCGGAAAACTTCTTTTTCAATTTAAAGTAACAATGATTCTAGTCCTAGAGATAAAAAGTAATCTCAAGCGAGGCCTGCCTTTGTTTCAAGTTTGATCAAAATACCTCAGTCCTAACATTATACACCATTCGCAATATTGTCACAATATCTTTTACTTTGGGCGGAACCAAGCAAGGTCTCCATCTTCGCTTGCTTTATGCAAACATTTAAATCAATTTTCGGCCACTTTTCTTGTTATAATCAGAAACCTTTTTCCTATTTTTTTGTAACAATGGTCTTGACCTTTGCACTATGATGTCCAAATGCAGTACCAAGTAAAGTCTCTACGTAAGCATGCTATATACCAATATGATAAACAAGAACATCAAGGAAAGGTGGCGTTTAATGAACGCAACACCCATACGACCCAGTAAGCAAGGAGCCCAGGCAGACAGTTAGGTTACGGATCAAAATGAAATATCACACAACCATGATTTATACAAAATTTGATTACAATATCTCTCTCCTAACTCAAGTTATCGTCCGGAAACCTTTTTTAATTTTACCTTGACATTAAGCCTAGGAAGTCTTTAAGGAAAACTTAAGAGATATCTCTACATAGCCTTGCTTCACGACATCTCATTCCTAACTCTAACTATCGTCCGATAACCATATTTTATTTTTTGGTAACAGTGACCTTGGCCTTGACCACAGGGGGGTCAAAAAGAAAAACCAAAGTACACTCAATGCCAGGTTCATCATAAGTTTGCTGTATACCGAATAGATAACAATGCCTCATGTCTAATCTGGTAGTCATACGGAAGTCATTTTTAACATACCAAAGTGACGTCTCCGCTAAGCTTGCTTTGTATCAAGTTTGATTACAGTATCTCTATCCGCACTTGAGTAATCGTCTAGAAACCACATAAAATGACCCACAGTTCGATAGGGTTATAGACAGACCGACTCGCTCTGTTCTTTTGCCCCCCCCCCCCCGCCAAAATTTGTTTGAGGGGTATTTATTTATCGTTAAGACTTTTTTGCAACATATTTTTCCTTGAATATATGAAAATTAACGTGATAAAAAATTGTTTCATATCAAATAATGGACGATAATCTGTGTTTTTGGTTTGAACAAAAACTAACAGCACCGATCATTTTGTACCCCCAATAAATTCAGAGTATATAAATAAAAAGGGTGAATAACAGTGGGAAAACGCATACATTTTTTACAGTTAACTATTAACTTGTTATGTTCAAATTTTTCTACTAGGATTAAGTTCCATGAATTCAAATGTTACATATCAAAGTATCACTGCGGTATACCGTACCCCGGATATTGCTCGATATTATGAGGATTTTCATCGTATTTCGCGACTTTGAACGAGAAATGAAGGTACGTTCAGTGACGATATGTAGTCATTTTGAATTGGTTTGATATAGATTTTATAGAAATACGAATACTTCGATAATTTCCCTAGTTACTGATAACCCAAAAATGTTGAGAAATAGCTTTGAGATAAAATTCGTCTCCTTGCTCGCGTGATTAATGAGATCGGATCAATCAAATTTGATGTTTTTGTGCATATACTTCCATAAAAGAAAAACTTGAATCGAGTGAAATATGATAATGTTTATAATGTAAATGTTCAATCAACAATAGAACCTCAGACGACAGTGCATTTTAAGAATAAATACACATGTCAGTGTACCGAGTATTGCGTTGGAGTTGCCCGCCGGTGTCACGAGTATTGCCTTTTAGTGTAACGAGTATTGGTTATCAATATCGAGTAAATGCAAGTAGTGAACACATAGTATCATAAATATTTCTTATTATGCAAACTTATTTACACTATATGTGCAGAATATGCAGAGTTCGGATGTACTTTATTGGAAACATCTGCGAATAATCCAGATTTTTATTCCTGCTCATGAAAATCTCAGCAATTTTCTGTGTTTAAAAAGTTCCCGGTGCTATCGAAGGATCAATCTTTCCAGAATTTGTTAATAATTATTGCATATCTTACTTTAAATAGTAAATAGTAAAAGAAAATGCATCCAAAGTGCATTAATGCTGCCTCAAAATTGTCAATATTAGACGGTATTGAGCAAGTGTGCCGATATCTAATATCAACCTACTATGCCAAAAATCCATATAAAGGTTACTTTCGGTCATTTTGCTCCTGCACTCTAGCAACGGCAGACCGTCTGCAAATGAAATTTGTTACGTCATTAGCATGACTGCCGAGCGGGTACAGCTCAAAAACCCGAATAATGGATTTTGATAAAGGGCAGTAGATTCAATAAAAAGGTTATGTTCCTTATATCCTTTTACCTCATAAAGGCTTGTTTTGAAGGCTTTACACCCCACCCAGTTTGAGGCCTCAAATAGTGTAAAACATGCGCTATTTAGGCCCCAAACACTGTTTTTCCCTTTGAGAAATGTTGTTCAAAAGAGTGATCACTTTTTCGGCGCCACCCCCTATTAAAAGGGTACATCAAAAGGGTGTCACAGGGGGATGTGCCCCTTCTGTTTGGGGGTTTGAAGTGGGGCTGTAGCCCCATCTAATCGCCGAGAAGATTTGGGACTTGTGTGGGGGCTTGAATTGCCTCAGGCCGATTTAAAGGTACCGTGTAATCAACGCCGAAAACCTTAGACTTGTAACAAGAGGCTTAATTCAATGATCGCAATGCTCGTGCAGTAAAAGGTTGAGACGATATCGGCATGCTTGGACGGTATATGCACGTGGGACAATACTTTACTAAGTGTGTCGATATGTTTCTTAAGACAAACTTGCTCTGTAAAAATCTATTGTTAATGTCATCTAAATATGTTTTGTTATTCTTCTTCTTTTCAGAGATGGGTCTCTCTTATTACAGTTCTTGAGACAATTGTATTTTAATATTTACGTCAATTTTGATCTTCGACCCTCTCCCGCCCTCATTCGACCCTGCACACACTTTATTTCATCCATAGTGGCTATTTTCAATCAAATAGAAATAAAACTCTGTATTTTGCCCGTAGGAAAAAACATTTTAACACGGAAAATCATTGTTGAAATTTTGAAATATTGGAATAAAATCACATAAAAACAGTACATTATCAGCAAAATGAAATAATCGAAAACAAGCGTAAAATTTAACAAAAAATATCGATTTCCCAGACAATTGTGCTCATCTGTTTGCACAAACACTGTACACAAAGTTGGGCTATTTTGCAATACTTGTACACTTAAAATCAAGACTCGTACACTTTCTTGTATCTTTTGCCTGTATGCATTTTTTACTTTCCATTACTTTTTGCCTAAAGTTTGACAAAGCATACGGGATGTGAATTTAAAAAAAATTACTCGATTCAATTTTTTTTATATCGGTAACATAATTTCTAACGATTCTACAGTATCGCGGTCAGGATTTTCTAGTAAGCAGCGGATCGTTTAGGGGTAGTTTAATCAATTTTACAAATACCTTTAATACTTTTACGTCTTTTAGAGCTACAAAAATACCTCTTGATATAAAAAAAACCCGTTCAGATATATGAAATAGCCATTAGTTTGGAAAATATCGTCACTGAACTTATCTTCGTTCCCCGTTCAAAGTCGCGAAGTGGGATGAAAGTCCTCATAATATCGACCAATATCCGGGGTACGGTATACCGCAGTGAGTATGGTTCACACATACAAAAAGTCACGCAAAAGTATACTCACCCAATATGTCACATATATATGTACTTTCTTTGACAGTTTTCTAGGAAAAGAAAATAACACTATAGACAAGTATATACATTTTTACTGCTTTAATGTTTATTTGCAGAAAAAGTCATAATAAGTTTTTGGTCATTCGTTTCACTAGACTCTCATTTCTATTTGCATCATATATACGAGTATTTGCTTTCTAACATAACTTTGATTTGCTTTTTACTGCGATTATGGGCATGCTGTGCGTTTGGACTTGTGGCATTATTTGAACTTGCTGCGCCTCTTGGAATTTGTTGTGCCGGCTTGGTTCGCAGCGGCAATATTTGAACTTGCTGCACAAATTAGAATGGTTGCATTATTTGTAATTCCTCTATTATCTTGGACTTGCGAAACCTTTTTCATTTGGGGTACTATTTTGAGTTGCTGCATTTTTTTACTTGCTATTTTTGGAGTGACTGCACTATTGAACTTGCTGTGCCTTTCATATTTCTTTTTTATTCTTCTATTAACAAACATCATGTTTATTATTCCTTAAACATCAAATTCCACTGTAACGAACCTGACAGAAAACAATTTGCGCAACGGCCCAATATAAATTACCTCGCATTAAAATGAAGCAAAAGTGTGTATCTTTTAGCGCTCTTAAATAATTACAAATTGAGTTTGTGATGTGTTTGTATATAGACTTTTTCTCCCAAAAGCAACTTTTCTCTCTGTCTACAGTGGTACAGTATGTTTGTATTAAAATCAAGCATTTACAATTAAATGACTTCTTAGAATGGATGAGATATAAAGGCGGGCATTCATTTGTTCTCTGCATTGTTTTCATAGTGAATAAAAGAAACATAAAGGCTTGCAAAATATATAACATGATATAAAAATACAGTTGCCTATTGATCTTGACTTCATGTAAGTATCTCAATGTAAACATGGACGGACGGCCAAGTGTCATAAAATTATACGACCAAAATTTCATTAAAAATTGTCTTATTATCAAAATAACAAGGGCAATCCCTCAGAAACTAGGAAAATGCATTCAAAACAATGATGATTTTCCAACTTAATAAAACATTTCTTAAATTTCATATGAATTTACGAAATTGTCATATATATATATATATATTATCATCTTACCAACTGATCTCGCTTATTCCGTCCCTTTCGAAACTGAAACACATCAAAAAGGTTTTTAACAAGTGAATCATTATAATGATAAATCTCGATAATTTGAAGTGATTTAACAATAACAATATCACATATGAAACATTACAAATAAGAGACTTTTTAATAATAACAAAACATGAAACACTTTTTTGCTTGTAAGTATTTCAAAACGAAATAGTTATCTATGACAGGACAAGTTCTTGTGTCTATTGAACTTCATGTAAAAAATCTAAAAAAATAAAGTTCCCTTATTGTTAAGAAGAAAAATACCAAAAGCACGATATCAGTTACAATAAACATGTACAATACATATTGTGTTCAACAAACGAAGTACCTAATACAGAAATGATGTGTTTTTTTTTCATAACTTAACAGTTAGTAATGAGACCCGGTGTAATGGAGCCTTATACATTTTGAGTATACTTGCAAAAGAAATGAAGCAGAAAATTACGTTTTTTCTCATAGGCATTGTAATCTTGACAATTAACTTGTTTTAAAACCAAATGCAATGTTTGTACATCCGATAAGCATTTTTTCATTATCTAAACTTTTAACCATAAGCACAGTTTTCATACATTGAACACGAGCATTTACAATAAAATGTCTTCTTAGGCATGGCACGTCGCAAGTAATGAGAATAAATACGGTGAACACTCGCTTTGGTTCTTATAGTACCATAAAGGAAAAAAAAGATAAAGAATGAATGACATCATAGAAAAGGCACAGTGATTTAATGATCCTAAAGTCGTTTAAGTACCTAAATGTAAGCACAGACAGACGCACGGGCGAACAAGCGCTTTTAACATATAAGGCCTAAGTTATCTTGGACATCAATAAAACACTGACTACTCATTATCAAAAGGACACTGTGTCAGAAACAAGGGAAATGTACTAAAAATGTACTAAAAGCAATACAAAAACGTGTTTTTTGTCAAAGATAAAGAAATAATAATAGCAAATGAAATTGTCAAATTGTATCAACTTACAAACTGTTTCCGTCTATTCCGTCCCTCTCGAATCTGAAACACATCAAAATAAATTTAACTAGGAAATCGTGTAACTATTACTGACGGGCAAACGAATAATAATTTAGCCCTCTCGAGACTTAAATAATCTGTATATGGTGTTATTCAGTATTAACAGTTTTGTGCAAATTGCCTGAATGGTTATCATATTGCATTTCTGGGATAATACATAGACCATGGCTGATAAGGTTTATGAAATGAAAAATTAAAAAAAAAACATAGAAATACATTTTAATAATAACAAAACGGGAAACACTTTTTTACATGAAAGTATTTCAAAACGAAATAGTTATCTATGACAGGACAAGTTCTTGAGTGTATTGATACGTCACTTCATGTATCAATTTAAAATCAAAACTTTACTTATTGTTAAGACTCAAATACCAAAAGCACGGTATCTGTTCCTATAAACATGTATAATACAGATTATGTCAGAAATGTAATAAATCTTAGGAGAATTACATCACCCGTTTATTCTGTCAGCAACCTTAGTAATGAATATATGCAAGTATTGTTGCATATCAAATGATTAATGTTAAAACAAAATGAACCTAAAACAGTAATGATTAGAATGTTTTCATGACTTAACATATAGTAATGAGACTCTGCTAGAGGATCTATTAAAATAATCAACAAACGAATGATCTATATTTGCGAAATTTGCCTTTAACATTTGATTAAATAGTTCTTTGTTATTCTTTAAACAGACTTTATTTGAAAATGTACGCTCATCTTCAATACTGTTTGTATGACTTAACAATTCAAATTTTTCATTTCTGTTCACATACGTATTTTAAGACCTGGTCATTTCTCTACAAAATTACACGATAAGACTGTTTTGTAGATGACATAAAAATGTTTTACTTACATGTATGAAATAATCACTATGGTAATAAGCGATTCTTTTTTTATAACATAAATAAGGGAAACATGTATTGCTGAAGGGATATACATTGAAATTATCTTCAAGATCTATATGACCCTCGAGCTACAAGCAGAGGGTAAATTATGACCAAGAAGGCTTAATTTTCTGTTCCCTATATCATCAAAGATCATCTACGACACTTTTAATGCAAACAAAGATTTGTTTGTTTGCATGGCTATTTGAAGCACGAATTCCTCTAAGAACAAGGTCGGATTGCTTTACTTTTAATATCAAAGTGTCATTTGTACCTTAGCCTGACCTCAAAATCAAATAGGTTGCCAACTTGCAATAAGTAATGTACCTACCAAGTTTCACTGACTTATTTCTTGTGAGTTATGATCGTGCATTTTACTGCCTTTGACTTGCGACATTATGACCTTAAACTCCAAAGGAGTGATTTACTTACCATCGGCATAATCCCTTTCAAGTTTCACAAAAATAGGCTCATTTTTCCAAAGAAATTGAACGGAAAAAAATTACGAAAGTGTCACTGTGGTCATGACTTTTGATCTAATGACCTTGGAATGTATTTGATTTATATACTAGCCACTGAGAATATTCTTACTAACTTTCAAATTTGGTAAATATAAATTGTTAAATTCGTGTCCCTTTACAGTTTTTAGTTTTTATACATTGAACACACGCATTTACAACTTCATGTCTTTTCAAGCAGAGTGGACATGCAAAAATGAGAATAATTAAGGTAGACACTCTCTTTTGTTCTTATAGTATCATAAGTGAAAAAATATACAGAACGAAGGACATCATAGAAAAGGCACAGTGATTTATTGATTGTGAAGTCGTCTAAGTACCTAAATGTAAGCACAGACAGACGAAGGGCGGACGAGCGCTTTACAAATATAACGCCGAAGTTATCTTTGGACATCAATAAAACACTGACTTCTCATTATTAAAAGGACACTGCGTCAGAAACAAGGGAAATGTACTAAAAATGTACTAAAAGCAATACAAAAACGTGTTTTTGTCAAAGATAAAATAAAATAATAGCAAATGAAATTGTCAAATTGTATCAACTTACAAACTTTTCCCGTCTACTCTGTCCCTCTCGAAGCTGAAACACATCAAATAAATTTAACTAGGAAATCGTGTAACTATTACCGACGGGCAAACGAATAATAATTTAGCCCTCTCGAGACTTAAATAATCTGTATATGGTGTTATTCAGTATTAATAGTTTCGTGCATATTGGCTGAATGGCTATAAAATTGCATTTCTGGGATAATACAAAGGCCATGGCTGATATAGTTTATGAAATGAAAAATACAAAAACAACATAAAAATAAAAATAATGCGGTTTTGTTTGTGATACTGTTTGTGAGGAATTGGCCTACAGTTTGAATACAAAAACACGCTGTTATGTAAACAATAATGCGGATATATCTTGAAATAACGGAGAGCAGAGTCGGGATTAATTCATAAAAAGGGATAATTTGCTCATCTTTAATTAGTATATTTTTATTGCAAAATTTATTGAAATCTATGAAATTCTTGCTGAATATGTCTTATTTAGATAAAAAGAACTTACAAACTTTGTATGGGAATCTGCGTTCCTTATTACGAGTCAAGTCGAACTTGTCCTTTCTCAATAAAAGCTAGTTCTTTACTGATACTTTATATTCTTAGTGTTTCCAGAGATAGTGTGTTTATTTTGCTTTTTAATAGCAAATCATTATTATTATAATGATTAATTTTTTCAGTTTTTTAGTTGATAACAGCCCATCTTACATTAACAATTTCACATATGAAAAATTTCAAATAAAATACATTTTAATAATAACAAATCAGGAAACACTTTTTTACATGAAAGTATTTCAAAACGAAATAGTTATCTATGACAGGACAAGTTCTTGAGTGTATTGATACGTCACTTCATGTATCAATTTAAAATCAAAATTTTACTTATTGTTAAGACGCAAATACCAAAAGTACGGTATCTGTTCCTATAAACATGTATAATACAGATTACAAACTTAAACAAGAGGCTTTGTCAGAAATGTAATAAATCTCAGGAGAATTACATCACCCGTTTATTCTGTCAGCAACCTTAATAATGAATATATGTAAGTATTATTACATATCAAATGATTAATGTTAAAACAAAATGAACCTAATACAGTAATGACTTGAATGTTTTCATGACTTAACAGATATTAATGAGACGCTGCTAAAGGATCTGTTAAAAAATCAACAAACGAGTGAACTATATTTGCAAAATTCACCTTTAACATTTGATTAAATAGTTCTTTGTAATTCTTTAAAATGACTTAATTAAAAAATGCACGCTCATCTTAAATATTGTTTTTATGACTAAACAATTAAAAATTTTCATTTCTGTTCACATACGAATTTTAAGACCTGGTTATTTCTGTACAAAATTACACGATAAGACTGTTTTGTAGATGACTTATAGCAAAAAATGTTTTACTTATATGTATGAAATAATCACTATGGTAATAAGCGATTCTCTTTTTATAACTAAAATAAGGGAAACATGTATTGCTGAAGCTACTAGCCGAGGGTAAATTATGACCAAGAAGGCTTAGTTTGTTTTCTGTACCCTATATCATCAAATAGCATATACGACACTGTTAATGCAAAGAAAGATTTGTTTGTTTGCATGACTATTTTCAGTCGGTTATTTGAAGCATGAATTCCTCTAAGTTCAATGTCGGACTGCCTTACTTTTCATATGTACCTTAGCCTGACCTCAAAATCATACATGTTCCCAACTTGCAATAATCAATGTATCTACCAAGTTTCACTGACTTATTTCTTGTGAGTTATGATCGTGCATTTTTACTGCCTTTGACTTGCGACAATATGACCTTAAAATCCAAGAGTAATTCACTAACCATCGGCATAATCCCTTTAAAATTTCACAAACATAGGCTCATTTTTCCAAAGAAATTGAACGGAAAAAAATACGAAAGTGTCACTGTGGTGATGACTTTTCATCTACTGACATTGAAGTGTATTTGATTTATTTACTAGCCACTGAAAATCTTCCCACTAACTTTCACATTTGGTAAATTCGTATCCCTGTGACCAAGATCTTTGGCCTATTGACCTTATGATAATTATGGGTTATTTACTGGCCATGGGTAATTTCCCTTCCAAATTTCACAAACTAATGCTTAATTTTGCAAAAGTAATGATGCAGACAATGACTTTTTTCTACTTGACCTGTAGCCTACTGACATCTAAACAGTAGAGATCATTAACTTGTTAGCTGTTGCTTGTTTTAAACCAAATGCAATGTTTCACATCCGATTTTTTCTCATTTTCTTAACTTTTCACACCATAATTACAGTTCTTAGTTTTTACACATTGAACACACACACATTTACAATTTAATGTCTTCTCAAGCAGGGCGGACATGTAAAAAATGAGAATAATTAAGGTTGACACTCTCTTTTGTTCTTATAGTATTATAAGTTAAAATAAATCTTACAGAATGAATGACATCATAGAAAAGGCACAGTGATTTATTGATTGTGAAGTCGTCAAGGTATCTAAATATAAGCACAGACAGACGAACGGGCGGACAAGCGCGTTACACATAAAAGACCGAAGTTATCTTTTGGCGTAAATAAAACACTGTCTTGTCATTATCACAGGGAGACTACGTCAGAAACAAGGCAAATGTACTAAAAGCAATAAAAAATTATTTAAAAACATGTTTTTGTCAAAGATTAAATATAAGAAAAGTACTTAATTTTCATATGTGCAAACAAAATTGTCAAATTGTGTCAACTTACAAACTGTTTCCCCCTACCCAGTCCCATTGGAAGCTGAAACATATCAAAATAAATTTTAATAGGAAATTGTTTAGCTATGACCGACGCACAAACGAATAATAACTTAGTTCAATAACCAGTATAGTGTGTTATTCAGTGTTTAAAGTGTTGTGCAAATTGCCTGAATGCCTATCAAATTTCATTCTGAAATAATACATAGACCATGGCTGATAAGGTTTATTAAATGAAAAATAAAACAAACAAAAAAACATAAAAATAAAAATCATGCGGTTTTGTTCGTGATACTGTTTGTGAGAAATTGACCTACAGTTTGAATAAAAATGCAGTTATGAAAACAATAATGTGGATTTATCTTGAAATAACGGAGCTAACTCATTTTAAGACATAAAGAGGATATTTGTTTGTTTGTGTGTAAGATGAAATTTTATTTCATCGAGTGGGTTTTAAAAACATTATTCTCACAAGTGGCGTAGCCACGAATAAGAATACTGTTTTTCAAGTTCACGAGATTAAATAAATTTACACAACAAACAATGTTATTGCTCGTATGATACTTTAATATGCCCAAATGTCATCAAGAGCAGTTTTGCGTGTGGAAGGAATGTATTTTTCAGACTGTAAAAATGAAACAAAAAAATTTGAGATTGGAATTTGAATAAATAGAAGTATGTTTTCTTCCTTTTATTACTTTTGACATTTAAGTTATTTATCAATTTCCGCTTTGCGTTTTCTTTAAACAGCCTGACATGGTCAGAATTGTCAGCAAAAATAAAATTGAGGTACCACATGGGGAAAATCTTAAAAAGTAGTTTCGTCTTTGAAAAGTGTGAAATTATATTTTGATAATTTTCACTGTGAAATTATCAAATATAATTTTCACGAATAAATCAGTAATCCACTGAAAAGCATAAAATTAATTATGCTCATCTTCGAGTAAAATATCTTTATTGCAGAAACGTATTGAAATCTATGAAATTCTTGTTGAATATGTCTTTATTAGATAAAAATAACTTACAAACTTTCTATGGGAATCTGCGTTCCTTATTACGAGTCGAGTCGAGCTGGTCCTTTCTCAAAAAGCTAGTTTTTAATGACACTATATAATTATAGTGTTACCACTTATAGTGTGTAGGATATAAAATATACATATGTGGAATCAAAACATGTTTATTTTAAATTCCAAAAGACTGTGTAACATTAATCAATATTTTCATAAATCAGATTTAAGCATAAGATATTTTTTAACTTAACCGCACAGACTTTTTTGTGTTTTCCGTTGTTATAATCGGGAAATTTCCGAATCTTTTCATATTTTTGAGCACTTGGTACGGATCTAGGCAAGCAAGCGAAATAATTGTTTAAATTATGGCCGTGAAGTACGCGGGTGTCCAGCGGGTTAACAGTGTGAACTGAGCGAGCTAGTAGTCTAGCGGGCTAACAGTGTGAACTGGGCGGGCTAGCAGTCTAGCGGGATAACAGTGTGAAGTGGGCGGGCTAGCAGTCTAGCGGGATAACAGTGTGAACTGGGCGAGCAAGCAGTCTAGCGGTCTAGCAGTGTGCACTGGGCGGGCTTGCGGGCCAGCGGGCTAAACTCTAAAACTTAACTGATTCAACATGAAAACGTTATGATACATATCCTAGCAGTGTGAAGTTGGTGGGCTAACAGTGTAACAGGCTAGCAGTGTGATTTGGGCGGGCTGGTTGGCCAGCGAGCTAAACTTTAATACATAATTGAATCCATATTAAAACCTCATGATACATTTCCTAGCAGTGTGAAGTGGGCGGGCTGACAGTGTAGCGGGTTAGCAGTGTGAACTTGGCGGGCTGGCGGGCCAGCGGGCTTAACTTCAATACTTAATTGAATAAACATGAAAATGTTATGATACATATCCTAGCAGTGTGGAATTGTCGGGATAACAGTGTAGCGGGCTAGCAGTGTGAACTGAGCGGGCTGGCGGGCCAGGGGGTCAAACTTTAGTACTTAATTGAATCAACATGAAAACGTTATGATACGTTTCCTAGCGGTTTGAATTGGGCGAGCTAACAGTGTAGCGGGATGGCAGGCAGTGTGAACTGGGCGGGCTCGCGGGCCGGCGAGCTAAACTTTAATACTTAATTGAATCAACATGAAAACGTTATGAAACATTTCCTAGCAGTGTGAAGTGGGCGGGCTAACAGTGTAGCGGGCTAGCATTGTAAAAATGGGCGGGCTGGTGGTCCAGCGGGCTAAACTGTAATACTTAATTGAATCCACATGAAAACGTTATGATACATTTCCTAGCAGTGCAAAGTTGGCAGGCTAACAGTGTCGCGTGTTAGCAGTGTGAACTGGGCGGGCTGGCGGGGCAGTGGCGGGCTAAACTTCAATACTTAATTGAATCAACATGAAAACGTTATGAAACATTTCCTAGCAGTGTGAAGTGGGCGGGCTAACAGTGTAACGGGCTACCAGTGTGAACTGGGCGGGCTGACGGGCCAGCGGGTTAAACTTTAATACTTAATTGAAGTTTTAGAGTTTAGCCCGCTGGCCCGCCAGACCGCCCAGTTCACACTGCTATCCCGCCACACTGTTAGCCCGCCCACTTTAAATTTACACTGCTAGGAATTGTAACATGAGGTTTAAATGTTGATTCAATTGAATATTAAAGTTAATCCCGCTGGCCCACCAGCCCGCCCAGTTCACACTGCTATCCCGCTACACTGTTAGTCCGCCCATTTCACACTGCTAGGAAATGTAGCATGAGCTTTTAATGTTGATTCAATTAAGAATAAAAGTTTAGCCCGCTGGCCCGCCAGCCCGCCCAGTTCACACTACTAGCCCGCTATACTGGTAGAGCGCTCAATTCACACTGCCAGGTTATGTATCATAACGTTTTCATGTTAAATCAGTTAAGTTTTAAAGTTTATCCCACTGGCCCGCCATCCCGCCCAGTTCACACTGCTAGCCCGCTTCACTGTTAGCCCGCCCATTTCACACTGCTAGGAAATGTATCATGAGCTTTTAATGTTAATTCAATTCAGAATTAAAGTTTAGCCCGCAGGCCCGCCATCCCACCCAGTTCACACTGCCAGTCCGCTACACTGTTAGCCCGCTCATTTCACACTGCCAGGTAATGTATCATAACGTTTTCATGTTGAATCAGTTTAGTTTAAGTGTTTAGCCCACTGGCCCGCCAGCCCGCCTAGTTCACACTGCTAATCCGCTCACTGTTAGCCCGCCCATTTCACACTGCTAGGAAATGTATCGTTAGCTTTTAATGTTGATTTAATTAAGAATTAAAGTTTAACCCACTGGACCGCCCGCCAGCCCAACAAGTTCATACTGCTAGCCCGCTACATTGTTAGCCCGCCCACTTCACACTGCTAGGAAATGTATCATGAGGTTTTCATGTTGAATCAGTTAAGTTTAAGTGTTTAGTCCGCTGGCCTGCCAGCCCACACAGTTCACACTGCTATCCCGCTATACTGTTTAGACGCTCATTTCACACTGCCAGATAATGTATCATAACGTTTCTGTTGAATCAGTTAAGTTTTATAGTTAAACCCGCTGACCCGCCCGCCCGCCCAGTTCTCACTGCTAGCCCGCTACAATGTTAGTCCGCCAATTTCACACTGCTAGGAAATGTATCATGAGGTTTTCATGTTTGAATCAGTTAAGTTTTAGTGTTTAAGTCCGCTGGCCCGCCAGCCCGCCCAGTTCACACTGCTATACCGCTACACTGTTAGCGCGCCCACTTTACACTGCTAGGAAATGTATCATGAGGTTTAAATGTTGATTCAGTTAAGTATTAAAGTTTAACCCGCTGGCCCACCAGCTCGCCCAGTTCACACTGCTAGCCCGCTACACTGTTATCCCGCCCACTTCTCAATACCAGGTAATGTATCATAAAGTTTTCATGTTGAATCAGTTTAGCCCGCTGGCCCACCAGTCCGCCCAGTTTACACTGCTAGCCCGCTACACTGTTAGACCGCCCACTTCACACTGCCAAGTAATGTTGAATCAGTTAAGTTATAGAGTTTAGCCTGCTGGCCCGCCAGACCACTCAGTTCACACTGCTATGCTAGCCCGCTACACTGTCAGCCCGCCCACTTCTCAATACCAGGTAATGTATCATAAAGTTTTCATGTTGAATCAGTTAAGTTTTAGAGTTTAGCCCGCTGGCCAGTTAAAACTGCTAGCCCGCTACACTGTTAACCCGCCCACTTCACACTGCTAGGAATTGAATCATGAGGTTTTAATATGGATTGAATTAAGTATTAAAGTTTAGCCCTCTGGCCCGCCAGCCCGCCCAGTTCACACTGTTATCCCGCTGACCTGTAAGCCCGCCCATTTCACACTGCTAGGAAATGTATCATGAGCTTTTAATGTTGATTCAATTAAGTATTAAAGTTAAGCCCGCCAGCTCGCCCAGTTCATACTGCTAGCCCGCTACACTGTAAGCCCGCCCATTTCACACTGCTTGGAAATGTATCATTAGGTTTTAATGTTGATTCAATTAAGTATTTATGTTAATCCCGCTGGCCCGCCAGCCCGCCCAGTTCACACTGCTAGCCCGCTACACTGGTAGCCCGTCCATTTCACACTGCCAGGTAATGTATAATGAGGTTTTAATGTTGATTCAATTAAGTATTTAAGTTAATCCCGCTGTCCCACCAGCCCGCCCAGTTCACACTGCATGGATTCAATTAAGTAACGTTTTCATGTTCAATCAGTTAAGTTTGAGAGTTTAACCCGCTGGCCCGCCAGCCCGCCCAGTTCACATTGCTATCCCGCTACAATGTTAGCCCGCCCACATAACACTGCTAGAAAATGTATCATGAGGTTTTAATATGGATTCAGTTAAGTATGAAAGTTTAACCCGCTGGCCCGCCCAGTTCACACTGCTAGTCCGAGTCGGCTACACTGTTAGCCCGCCAAATTCACACTGCTAGGAAATGTATCGTGAGGTTTTAATGTTGAATCAGTTAAGTTTTAGTGTTTAGCCCGCTGGGCCGCCGGCCCGCCCAGTTCACACTGTTATCCCGCTATATTGTTAGCCCGCCAACTTCACACTGCTAGGAATTGTATCATGAGGTTTAAATGTTTATTCAGTTAAGTATTAAAGTTAAGTACGCTGGCCCGCCAGCTCGCCCAGTTCACACTGCTAGTCCGCTACACTGTTAGCCCGCCCACTTCACGCTGCCAGGTAATGTATCATAACGTTTTCATGTTGAAATAGTTTAGTTTTAGAGTTTAACCCGCTGGCCTGCCAGCCCGCCAGCCCGCCCAGTTCACACTGCTATCCCGCTACACTGTTAACCCGCCCACTTCACACTGCTAGGAAATTAATCATGAGGTTTTAATATGGATTCAATTACGTATTAAAATATAACCCGCTGGCCAGCAAGCCTGCCCAGTTTACACTGTTAGCCCGCTACACTGTTAGCCCGCCCATTTCACACTGCTAGGAAATGTATCATGAGGTTTAAATGTTGATTCAATTAAGTATTAAAGTTTAACCCGCTTACCCGCTGGTCCGCCAGCCCGCCCAGTTCACACTGCTATCCCGCTACACTGTTAGCCCGCCCACTTCACACTGCTAGGAAATGTATCATGAGGTTTTAATATGGATTCAGTTAAGTATGAAAGTTTATCCAGCTGGCCCACCAGCCCGCCCAGTTCACACTGTTAGTCCGCTACACTGTTAGCCCGTCCACTTTACACTGCTAGGAAATGTATCATGGGGTTTTAACATGGATTCAATTAAGTATTAAAGTTTATCCCGCTGGCCCGCCAGCCCACCCAGTTCATACTGCTGGCCCGCTACACTGTAAGCCCGCCCATTTCACACTGCTTGGAAATGTATAATGAGGTTTTAATGTTGATTCAATTAAGTATTTAAGTTAATCCCGCTGGCCCGCCAGCCCGCCCTGTTCACACTGCATGGATTCAATTAAGTATTAAAATATAACCCGCTGGCCAGCCAGTCTGCCCAATTCACACTGTTTGCCCGCTACACTGTTAGCCCGCCCACTTCACACTGCTAGGAAATGTATCATGAGGTTTAAATGTTGATTCATTTTAAGTATGAAAGTTTATCCCGCTGGCCCACCAGCCCGCCAAGTTCACACTGTTAGTCCGCTACACTGTTATCCCGCCCACTTTACACTGCTAGGAAATGTATGATGGGGTTTTAACATGGATTCAATTAAGTATTAAAGTTTAGCCCGCTGGCCCGCCAGCCTGCCCAGTTCATACTGCTGGCCCGCAGCACTGTAAGCCCGCCCATTTCACACTGCTTGGAAATGTATAATGAGGTTTTAATGTTGATTCAATTAAGTATTTAAGTTAATCCCGCTGGCCCGCCAGCCCGCCCAGTTCACACTGCTAGCCCGCTACACTGTTAGACCGACAAATCACACTGCCAGTTAATGTATCATAACCTTGTCATGTCGAATCAGTTAAATTTAAGAATTTAGCCCGCTGTCCCGCCAGCCCGCCCAGTTTACACTGCTAACCCGCAACACTGTTAGCTCGCTCACATCACACTGCTAGGAAATGTATCATGAGGTTTAATGTTGATTCAATAAAGTATGAAACTTTAGCCGGCTGGCCCGCAAGCCCGCCCAGTTCACACTGCTAGTCCGCTTCACTGTTAGCCCGCCCACTTCACACAGCTAGGAAATGTATCATAACGTTTTCATGTTCATTCAATTAAGTTTTAAAGTTTAGCCCGCTGGCCCGCTCACACTGCTAGCCCGCTACACTGTTAATCCGCCAACTTCACACTGCTAGGATATGTATTATAACGTTTTCATGTTTAATCTGTTAAGATTTAGAGTTTATCACGCTAGACTGCTAGCCCGCCCAGTTATCACTGTTATCCCGCTAGACTGCTACCCCGCTCAGTTCACACTGTTAATCGGCTAGATTGCTAGCCCGTTAGCCCGCGTACTTCACGGACATAATTAAGAATTGTTATTATAATTTGATACATGTGTGTATATAACTCTTTATAAGGTAACCAAATCATTTACATCTTGCCATCTTTGCATTACTTAGTATTTTAATATTTTATAAGCATTAAAATTAGCTTAACTAAGTAAGATTATTGATATCGATTTGATTTAATGCTTACCTTTGATTTATAAATTCAACCTGTCTTTCTATTATAAATACATGGCCGTTATGTCAATTACTTGTTAAATATAGAGAGAGAAAACAAAAAAAATAGGTTTTATCTAATATTGAATAAAATTTCATACCAAGTGTAATAACGCCATGGGGGTTGGAAACTCCCAGTCGGAATAAAACAGGCCTGTATTCATCTCATATCGATCTATGTGAATTACCCGCTGAAAAACAAAATTGTTTGTGCAAAGAAATCAAAACAATGAACAATAGTGGATACTTGTTTGTAAAAAAAAAGACACATGTCTACCTTTTCATCAATAAAATTCTCCTATTTATTTCACAAAACATAAAAACATTGTCATAAGCTATTTATACCTATTTAATACGCCACTTAACTTACCAATTTTATTTTTATGCTGACATCAGATTGAAAGAAAAAAAAATCAAATCACAGTTTTGCTTTGATTATAATTGCAAAATGAACCTAAGCCCAATCACTAAGGTTTGTAATGTAGTTCAGTACGAGGTTCTTGAGCAAGATACGCGTTCTTATTTTCGCTGCTATATATTTTAAGTACTGTAACCTTTTGAAAAGCATTGTTAATCAAAAATATAGAAATATTATAAAGTATGTATTAAAATTTATTACTTCAATACTTCAAATTCTTTAATTTTGTACAACGGCAAATATTCTTCAGTAATTTGTTTTATGAAATAGCTTTTCTATGTCCGCATAGTGCTAAGCAAAACAAAATAAAAATGTAAAAAAAAACTTTTCTAATGAACTCAAACATTTATTACAATGTCTTTTGATTTGTTTGAGATGTTCGAGTTGTTGTTGTTGTTTATTTTGCTGATGTTTGTTTCTAATATGAAATTTGCTCATCTCATTTTAATTTGAATGATTAAGAAAACATTTGCTTTTCATGGGCAATCTTCTTTACATTTTTTCATTGTACTTTCATCATCATACGATAAAAGCTTACTTGATGAATAACATCATAAATATGACTTGTTTAATACATTATATCATAATGATACTGTCATGATCAAGAATTTCATGCCAGTATATATTTAAACTTCATCACACATACATTTTTTGCGTTTAATGAATAATAAAAAATGGGCTCTGCCCAAGATTCGAGTCTAGAACTGCTTGCACACAAGGCGAGCATTTAATCTTTTTATCATTAGGCGTTTTGACATAACGTTTGTGAAATTTCTATGTTTTAAAAAATATAGTACTTCAATAAACAGTGTCATGGTTTTTCCTTTCAATTTAGAATTTCCCATGTAAATAAACATGTTAGTATGTATCCCTAATTTTTCTAAAGAAGCTTCGCGAACAATTTTTTTAGTTTAATTTCTCAGGTATTTGGGACCTGTAAACCGTGCTTTCCACTACTTTAAAAAATTGATAAGTCCTCGAGTGTACAATTTATAGAACATAAGAAATAACTGTGATATCAATGATATTTCATACGTTTTTTGTCTAAAATGACGAGACCACAATACCGCGCACGATCCCCGAAATAACATTTGTACATAAAAATGTCAGAACTCTGAACTATTCGGGTATTCTCATTCTATTGAGCTATTAGATCAATGAAAAATCAAATATTATAGTATTTATAACAGCATTATATGTTTAATTAAATATCATTATTTAACTGAAGAACTCTTCAACTTTCATTCTTTATTCTAGCATTTGCTACATAAGCATATTAATGGTACATACCTTCAAATAAACATTGTTACATAAGTTTGAAATAAAATCTTGAGGTTTGTTTTATAATAACAAGAATGCTTAAAAACGCCATAAGTTATACTCAATACAACGAATTCATGGCTAAGGCAAGTACATATACAATGCATGTTGACTTTGAACAAGCTCAATATGAAAATATATTTTATAAAGAATTACCTCTTTCTGCCTCTCTTTTTTTTTTATACTCCCCCATTAGTTCCCATGTCGACTACAATAAAAAGATAAAACCCGGGGCTGAAAGATAAATGTTTTTAAAAAAACGTAAAGGCCGGAAAAATTTTTATTAATAAAAATTTTTTTATCAACATTTTCAAGTAATTTTGAAAATTGTACAACGTAAATTTTTAAGTAATTTGTAATTAATGCAATAGCTTTTCCTTTGTCCGCATACTGTTAAATAAAACAAAATAACAATGTCAAAAAAAAAACTTTTCTAGTGAACTCAAACATGTATTACAATGTCTTTTAGGTTTGTTTTTGTTGTTGTTCATCCGGACCACAAAATTTAGTAATCATTTTTACCACAAAATTTAGCAATAATTTTTACTCATACTTAATCATTCATTCAAAATCTGACATTAAAAAATTCGGAGACATGTGCATATCATTTGAAAAACAAGTTAGCTCTCTAGAAACGGACAATGTGCAACTGAACAACAAAGTCAATGACTTGGAAGCCCGTAGTTTAAGGGACAATCTGTTGTTTCATGGATTTGACGAATCACCAGACGAAAACTGCGAAGCACTCATACAAAATTCCATTAAACATGACCTAGGCATCGACCAAAAGGAAATAAATATTGAAAGAGCCCATCGAATTGGTAAACAAACAAAAGTAAAGGAATACGACCTGTTGTCGTTAAATTTTTGGAATGGAAAGATAGAGAATTGGTACGTAAAACTGCAAATGACAAGTTCGCGGAATTAAAAATGAAAAAGAAAGGTGTCGGCGATCAACAAACTAGAGCTGTGCTGGCCAAAAAAAAGATCTCTATTCCATTATTGATCGTGAAAAGAAAAGTGGCAGATTTGTCAAATGGGCTGGAGCAAAACTTTTAGTCAGTGATCATGCCGAGGGACCATTCTACGAGATTACAAGCTAGGAAGAGCAAGAGGAACTACGAATTCTTGTGTGGAATTTAAACGGGTTATCAAGAAAATTAAATGATGAGGAATTTTTAGACTACATAAGCAGTTACGATATTTTGTTATTTTGTGAGACTTGGATTAGTGAAAAATACGTGTTTAAATTAGAAATAAACGGTTATAAAAGTTTTTATTTATATGGAAATAAATCAAGTGGCACCAAGAAAGGACGCTATAGCGGAGGAATATCTGTTTATTTTAAAGATGAATTTAGTTCAAATATTTCTATTGTAGAGACTCACAAGTATGGTATTATTTGGCTAAAAATTAACAAAGATTTACTTGACCTTGAAGAAAATGTATACATATGTAATGCTTATATTCCACCACCTGGTTCTAAAGTTTTGTATGATAAAGATTTTGATTTTTTTTTTTGACGAAATAGAAACGGGAATAGAAAAATATAATAATTTAGGGAAAACCTTCATTACTGGAGATCTTAATTCTAGGACAGGGAACTTATCTGATAGAATATGATAAATTTCTTGACGATGAAAATATTTTTTTTTAATGATTAATGTATAATTAATGACGAAATAGAAACGGGAATAGAAAAATATAATAATTTAGGGAAAACCTTCATTACTGGAGATCTTAATTCTAGGACAGGGAACTTATCTGATAGAATATGATAAATTTCTTGACGATGAAATAATTTTTTTTTAAATGATTAATGTATAATTCATGACCGCACCATTAGCGATCACGTGATTGATTCTTATGGGCGGAGATTAACTTTACTATGTAAATCAACTAATCATGTCATAGCCATTGGCCGAATGCACAGCGACCGTGGATTAGGCAATTTTACCTTTAGCTCATCACGTGGTTTAAGCGTACCAGATTATTTTATTGTTGATAAAAATGCATTTAAAGACGTTTTCGGTAGTTTTCTGTGCGCATCGTTATGCGTTTCCAAGAAAGATAATCACGAAAAAAGTTGAATAGTATTCGGATAATGTTTAAATTTCGGCTATAAGCAAATAATGAGTAAATAATACAGAATAGATATTTCTAAATGTTCAAAAGGAGATCAGTTCATCAGAATAAGAGGTCGTTTAGATTACATCACATAAAGGATTTCTCCAAGCATTAGTAAGACAGCATTGATGATAATTCTGCGCGCGTTACCCCACCCACTTGTGGTATAGTGAAGAAAGTGCGTCGCGACTTGATTACTGGCAGACAACTGGGCAAAGAAGTTTAAAATGATATATTTTAAAAGTGTTGAATTAAAAAAAAAAATTAATATCTAAGAAATGTTCCGAATTTCATTATTTTCTTTGTAAATTTCTGAATACTTGCTTACTGTTCGCGTATGTTAATCGAGTGAAAAAAATAATATGGCCCTAGATATGTTTTAAAAAGATATTCAGTATCATTTACTTAATATAACATCAAAAGAAAAAGAAATTTTTATTACAACATGTTTTTGTTGTATATTTGACAATACATTTAGTATAACACTGATATTTCTTAAGAAAGCGTGGTAATTTTGACAGTTGGCATATGCGGTAACCATGGAAACTGCCCGTTTACAAAAATCTTACACGTCAACATATATATTTTATTTCTATTTTTGAATCCACCATCAAATGTTACTTGATATATCAATAATGTAGAAAATTCTATGAAAGAAATTTCTTGATAGCTTTATTTTTTTTACAGAATTCATGTTTATTTTTCTCATTTTTTGTTTAGTTAAAAAGCATGAAAACTCATTTTTTAAAGAAATATGTTCCAATATATCGTTTGTTTTATAAAGAACCCTAAGATAAAGCAAGCTTTGTATAAAATTATGTTTATTGTGTGTGTAATAAGCTATTTTATACATTATTATAGCACAGTTTGGCTATTTTGACAATTTTGAGATATACGGTTACCATGGAAACTGCCATTTTTCAAAAAATCCAACACGCCAACATATGTTTTTCTTTTTCTTTTTGAATTTGTTATTTAATTTTACACAACATATAAAAAAAATAGAAAATTTTTTGAAACACTTTTTTCAATATCTCTAATTATTCTCAGAATTCATGTTTATTTTTCTCATTTTTTGTTCGGTTGAGGAACATGGAAAGCTAATTTTTTAAAGAAATATGTTCAGATTATCATTTGTTTCATACAGAATCATTAGATAAGGTTATCTTTGCATAAAACAATGCTCGTTGTGTGTTTTAAACTATCTTACACATTTTCTATTCGTCATAACACAGTTAGGCTATTTTGACAGTTTTTAGATATACGGTTACCATGGAAACTGCCATTTTACAAGAAATCCAACACGTCAACATATATTTTTCT